AGATGCACAAAATACAACTTGGTAGAGTCGTGAAGTGGCATTTTTTGCTCATCTTGAAGCTGCCCCATCTGCAGTCGATTGACGACCGTTCAAATCCTTTCGCTTATTGTCATTTAATGTCCACCATCACCAGATTACCACTGCCAGTCCAGTCCATGTTTTCTACTCTTGGGTTGTCCTTTGGATGATTAGTTGTGGCAGTGCAAGGGTATCTTATTTGCAGAAGCTTCTGGTGCATCAAACGAAATTGTAAATGAAATTCGATTGCACACGGCTGAAGCAGAATTATATTTAAAAATGCATGGCATGTGCACACACTGGCCGACTCGAGTGGCACAGAGATTCCGATCCAATCCGATCCGATCCATGTGCATGTGCGGCAATGATCCTGTGTGTGTGTGTGTGTGTGTGTGTGTAAAGGGGGACTCTGATTTCCACATTTCCATTCTGATTCCGACTTAGTCTATGATTTTATAATTCAATTATTATTCAAATCATATAATTTCATCTTGATGGCACGCACAGCACGAACAAAAAGTGTCAGACGGTGGCTGCTGCACTGCTGGGCTGGCAGGCGGCATGTAATAATCATATTACGTATACGCGACCACCACAGGCGGCACATCACTTGTACTGCCTGCAAATCCAATTTCATGCTTGTGGCAGGCACAAGGACATCAGGAAACAGGGGACACCGGTATAACAGGGAGTGGAGCATAGTGGAGCACAGTGGAGCACAGTGGAACACAGCGAGTAGACGTTGACAATGTTGACAACGAAGACTGCCTGCTGTGTACGAGAGAGAGTACAAGAATATGTCACGCTCGCCTACAATGAAATTTGTTTGCTTCATTCCTTCATTATTTCTTTTCATTTGTATATTTTTTTGTTACTGCCTGCGAATCCCACTCTTATTGTCTCCTCTGGCTTATCCTTCATTTGTCGCCGCTTGCATTTATATTATTTTTTGCATATTAATATTGTTAAAAGCGAGCCAGGGAGACGGCTCCAAGCTCCAAGCTCCACAAAATTAGCCAGCCATTCATGCCGCCTCGTTGTGGTTAGGAGAAGGACAGATTGGCGACGTCTGGCAGCGGGAGGCCATATCAATTCGCCCACCGGAAGGCACGCAGCTCCAGCAGCAGCAGCAGCAGCAGCAGCAACAAAAGCAGCAACAACGACAGCAACGTGGCAGTGTCAGTGGCACAAAAGAATGTGGCAAGCTGTGGGGCCGTTCGTGTCGTTTCGCTACGGCTCGGCGGGAGTTCGAAAATCGTAAACATGTCCCGACGACCACGGGCAGAGGGGACAGACATGCAAACATATCGCATGAATAAGGTAGTTATATAATATGAGCGTACACCCCACAGGATCTGTGTGTGTGTGTGTGTGTGTGTGTGTATGCACTTATTAATGCGTATTCATTGTGACATCCGGCGCGAGGAAATTATATTCCCCCAACGGTCTGCAACCCAATCATCGACCATGCCTTGCCACGCTTCGCTTCGCCTTGCCTCTGCCTCTGCCACAGAAACCTTGCCGTGCCTTGCCTTGCCTTGCGGACCAGACGTTTTCTTTTGTCGATTTAATTGAAATAATTGCAAAAATGCAAATTGAATGGACAACAGTTGACACAGGATATTAACCATGGACGGCCGATGGCCAGAAGAGCGACTCCCGCTGCGCTGCAGCTCCGGCTTCGGCTCCAGCTTCAGCTCCCTTAATGAGCTAACGAATGGCACTGGATAATTGGATGAAGACCGCATATGCAGCTGGGTACCATTGCACTAGGAACGGGAGCCCTGGACACGTTACATGGTATCCCAATTTAAGTTAAGCGTAGCTGATATTTCCGATTGTTTGCCCGACCCGTGAAAGCGCTGTAATAGCCCAGCATGTCAATGATTTGCCTGCCATTTTTTGTAGATTTATTAACGGATGCTTTAGCTGCTGCTATATGGAATATCAATCATATCACATCCAATAAGTGTAGCAGCCAGAATGGGCAAAAAGCAAGCCTGGTACGCTGGTGCTATGGAGCCTCGTCCCGACCACTTCAGAGATTCCATTTAGCACCTCAGCAAGCTGTAATGAGGCCACGAGCCGCGTTGCATTGCCATCACTTGCCACATAGTGCGTTGGTTCGGTAGTTAGGTAGTTCGGTAGTTCGGTAGTTTGAAGCCAGAGGGCGGATATGCGGATGTGGCGGCTGTACAGCCAGATCCCCCTCCTACCCCGTCTAAAACGAGTACTCATCATCGATGTTGTCGATGTCGAGGATGCGAATGATGATGATAATGATGATGGTGTTTGGTTTTGTTGCCTCTGTCTGGGCAACTTCCGTTGCGTTGCAATGGTAAACAACAAGCATCCAACTCGGTCTGGTCTGTGTGCCCCAATCCGGTCTGTGTGTCTCTCTGTCTGCGTGGGTCGCTGTCTGTGTGCAGCGTACGCATCCTGGCCGCAGGTTGTACCATAATTGTGTTGATTAGCTAATTAGATGTAATTTCGCGGCCGGAAATTGGCAGTGGCTGCAGCCAGAGCCATTAGGGTGACAATTCCTGCTACTCCAGCACCCATCCTCCCTCCCCCCACATCGAATAGTTTGCTCCTTCAATGCTAATTTTTAAGTGCAAACGCAGTCGGAGGGTCATCCCGTTGCCCGGGCATAGTCTTGTCATGAATATGTTTGTTTAGAGCAGCCATGTCTCGCCCTGAAGGGTTCCGCTCCATCAGATTCAGCTACCAGCTACAGATACTTTGGCCCTCTGCCTCTGCGCCCCTGACTCTGCCCCTGCCTCTGCCTGATGCTGACGTAAAAGTCGCGCCATAAAAATTCATTGGCAAACGAGCCAAAGTATTGCTACACTGCCACCGCCACCGCCACAGCTAGTGCCTCTGGTTAGTGCGCCACTGGCTGTGGCAGTGTCACTGGCACTGTGGCAATCGCCGAGAGTAGTCCAGACGAGACGCCATCGCCACTGACTGAGCTGCAAAAAGCCACTGAAGCGCTGCCGGCTGGGTAACGGATCTGAAAGTTGAGCTCAGCCCCCAAGCCAGGCCATTGGGCGAGCCCTCTACGCGCAAATCATTTACCAGCCGATTAGACAGTCAGCGGAAATGGGAAAATGGAAAGGGAATTAAATTTAAATTCTTAGCTTATTAATATTCGATTATTTAATTTTATATTACATTATTTTATTTTATAATTATTTTTTCATATTTATATGAAGGTCAGTCAGGGGAAATTCTGTTTGGAAGTGCTTTGAGCTAGCAATCAGCTTATTTATATTCCATTATTTAATTTTATATTAATTTATTTATATTATTTTATTTTATAATTATTTTTCATATTTATGTACATATATGAAGATCGTCAGGGGAAATTCCCTTTGGCAGTGCTTTGATATTATATATTATATTATATATTTAAATTATATTATTTTATTTTATAATTATTTTTTCATATTTATATTAAATACTTCATTCCTAAATTACCTATAAATATTTTAAACGACCGCTCTTGATTATGGGTCACAGCTTCCTTTTGTGCCCTTGAAATTCGAACATTTCCGTGACAGCCCTATGCCATAGCCACAGCTGTTCGATTTGGTTGGTTACTTGCTGGCTGACTTGTGCATCCAAATTGTAAGTTAAAACTTGGACTCTAGCTATATCGCTTACGCTGTGGATAACAAATTTAAATACCAATCTAGGGCATACAATTTTTGTATTCTGTGTAGTGCAAACCTCTGATCAAAGTGTATGAATAAAAAGGTAAATTCTATACATTTCTTGCCGCCTTTTTTTGGTCAAAAACTTTGTCCTCGTTGTCCATCGGGCAACCAGGCCCAACCATGAATGATGCATAAAAACCAAAAATAGGAAACATTTTATAAAAGGAATTGCATAAAGTTTTTCGTCTTTTTTTTGTTTTGTTAGCTTTTCTCCTAAAGACGACTGAGGGGGCTGAATGGGATGGGTTGGGATATGGAACGGAATGAAATGGGTTGAGTGGCGAGGGGTGTGGGGTGTGGGATGGTGTGGTTGGGGGGGTTGGCGAAAGGGATGTATCGTTTCAGACGCTGACTGCGACATCGGAGGCAATGAGCTTAAGTTCAATACATTTACTGAATTTCCAGCAAACGACAAGGACGAAGACGATGTCGTTGACTACTTGGCTACGCGGCCAGGATGGGCATGGGGATGAGCGGTAAGACGTGTAAGGCGAAGGGCAGGCAAGCCATGGGGAAGCCATGGGGAAGCCATGAAAGCCGGGCAACGTTGTGCCCATTACAGACAGTTTTTGTGGCGAGAAATTTCAAAAAGCTCAAATGTGCGAGGCGATAAGCAAAGCAGCAAGAGATTGGAATGGAGCTGGAGCTGGAGCGGGAGCGGGAGCAATGGCGATGGCAATGGGTTCACAGAGTGTTTCAGAGTGTGGGACAGAACAGAGTGTGGCAGTGGCAGTGGCGGTGGCAGCAATGGGGGCAGCACTTACATGTAACCAGTCGATGGCGACAACGGCAGCCGCAAATGTAGCAAGGATTGCCAGCCAGCAAGAAGCACACACAAAATTGATGTCTTCTATGTGTGTGTGTGTGGCTGGAGCGGCAAGGGAATGGGAAGGGGAATGGGAGTGGGAATGGGCATGAGTATGAGTGGCAACCGAGACCGTTGTGGATGCCGCCTGCCTGGTGAATGGGTGGGCGTTAGATCGGTTCGTTGGGGGTTGATTCGCCAGCGCAAGTTTTGGTTTTCAAAATTTATCGCTTTTAGATAAAACGTTTTGCGTTTTTACGATACGAGCAGCGAACACTTTGGCCAACTATCCAGCACCCCCGTGCCCCGTGTCCCGTGCCTCGAGCCCATCTGGATGGGATGGGTATGAGATGCGATACTCTGGCTAGGCAGGACAAAGAACGGGGCAGTGCAGGGGGGATGCAGCAGTGTCCTCTGGTTCGAGGGGATTATGAAGTAATTTAATTAAAACGTTTTGGCCCCCAAATAAATTCAGCATTATTTATTTGTGTATTGTTATGCCAGCCCCCCTTGGGTTTCTGCGTGGCTTTAAATATATACTAAACTTGCCACTTGCAGCGGCGACTGTGCTGTAGCAGCTCCAAGGCAAACACCACAACCGCACAGAGATTGGACCACAGGATGAGCCAGAAGAGTGCCGCCAGCTCGCGCATCGAAAGGACATTGTCCCGGCCCGTGGCATCAGCGGCCGCCTTTTCAGTGTCGGACAGCCGTGGATCGCCATCGATTCCATCGAGCGTGCTGTAGGATGTGGAGGAGATCCTTGCCACACTCTCGTCGGCCTCATCCACGGCGCTGACATACTGGCGCGTCCAGTGCTCGAGGAATCCATGGGCATGCGCGTGTCGGATCTGGCCATTGAGCACGCCCACCAGATGCGAGTGACGCCGCACATAGAAGGCCAGCTGCTGAGTGTAGATGCGTTCCCGCACCAGATGCAACCGCCGATTCATCGGATGCACCTTGCGGAAGTAGCCGAAGTATTCGTAGGGCGTGAGCGTGGCCAGGCGGGCGGAGGAGCCGCTGCTCTGGGCGAGCGCCAGAAACGATTGCAGCTCGCTGCCGCTGAGGTAGACCAGCTGCTCGGGCCGCAGCTCCGGCAGACTGTCCAGTATGCGGGCAGCATTCACCTCCATCAGCTGTATGGTGAAGCGCTGGGCGAGCACCTCGGCAATCGTCTGCGGGGGATTCCGCTGCGTGTCCTGCCGCAGCAGCTGGTACATGCCCGACTGGTAGGCGCCGCGCAGCACCAAAGTGGAGAACAGCCAACTAAGCAGCAGCAGGCGGCCAGACACACGCCGTGGCATGGCGCAATCCGGCAGATTGCCGCCCATGACGAGCACCAGGAACTGATAGTACGGATGCTGGGGCAACTGGTGCCAGCGGAGATCGATAGCCAGCAGCAGCAAGCAGCCAAGGGCCAGGACCAGGCCAATGGCCTGCCACACCAGCGGATGGAAGGGAAAGGCCAGCTTCTCGTAGGCGGAGTAGGCGCTCTGCAGATTGGTCACCAGCATGATGTGGCTCATGAAGTAGTAGGTGGACTGCGAGTAGGGAATCTCGCTGCCGGCGCTTGGCTTAAAGTGGAATCCACCCAACGAGAAGTCCGCATGCTGGCCAAATATCTGCAAGGTATATAACAATTAGGCCTCCAGGAGTGGCAAGTAGACTGTGGACTGCAGACTGACCTCATCGAACACCCAACCGGACTCATTGAAGGTGGCCAGCACCTCCTCCTTGTTCATCCAGTAGAGGCCCACACTGAAGTTCAGATTATCGGCCATGAACTGCAGCAGTGCCCCCTCGATGCCCACGAATGCATTGCCACCGGCAGCTGTAGGCCAGCGCTAATCTCTCGCCGCAGCACCAAGTACGGCATGTCCTCCCAGGTGGCGCAGATCAGGACACAGCCGTAGAAGTTGCCCAGCTTTGGGGGAAAGTACACGGCACTGGCCCAGCGCCTGGCCCCATCCCCATAGCGGTTCACAATGCTCGCCCTGATCACCTGGCAGCCGTGCACCGCACTAAAGGGGAAGTAGCTGACCATGATGAGCCGCCCGCCGGGAGTGCGCAGCACCAGACCCACATTGAGCACGCTCAGGCGCCACAGTAGCTGCAGGGCGGCCTGCACCTCCGCCTCGTAGGCATGCTTGGGGCCCGACATATAGATGAGGGTGTGCGAGAGGTCCTGGGTAGCACGCAGCTGGCCGTACAGCTGCTGGAGGGCCTGCAGATCGTTGACCAGCAGCAGGACAGCGTGCACGTACGGCTTGTACTCCATGGGTCGTTGCGAGTAGATCCGACGTGGCAGCGTAGTGGATGGCAGCTCCTGTAGCACCTGCGTTAGCAGCGCCTTCAAGTGCGGGCGCATTGTCTCGACGCTCGTCTGCACATGTATGTAGAGGGTCCTGCTGCCAGCCATCTCCGAGCGGTGCACCACCTGGGCCAGAGCCTCGGCTAGTCCAGATTCAGTTGACGCGACGGTGACCGCAATCCAAGCCGACAGCGCGAACCATAGCAGGCAGTGGAACACGCAGATCTGCATGGCTAGCCCTGAGGAATGTCGTCCAGCTTTTGGTTTGACTGTTGCCTTGTCTGGAGTTCGTGCACCCTGGGGAAATCTACGGAATGACTCTGAATAATCACGCGTTAATCATGTCAAATTATGGGGAATGCCCCCGGGGGACTAACGCCACTTATGGAGTTGATTACGCGAGTTCCCTTAATTACGGACATATCAAAGATTGTTCAGGGTACAAATCGAGTGTCGTTTCCGGGGAGCTGTTTCTATAAACAATTGTTTGGTATTATTCAGCCATCGATTAGATTTAATCATAGATTGAAATAATCAATATATTACAGAGGACTCCAGTGCAGAGATAATTCACAATGGAAAGGGAGAGAAATTATAAGTTGCGGCAGGGGTATATGATGCCGAGAGCCTGGATGATCGTGGAAGGTTCTTAGGAAGCCCGTGAGCCTGTGACTGCCAGACTATCTACGGTAGGAAGCGTGTGCCTAGCTGAGCTTGAATACACTGAATGACCAAATGAACACATCCATAAGTCTGAATGCCAGTAGCACAGGCATTAGCTGTCACAGCTGCTGGTAGTTCCACAGTCCGAAACAGTCACAGTCGAGAGAGTGACCTACAACAGAATTAAATTATTATTGTTATTATTTCATAAACTTTTTTCAATATGAAGAATATTCGGCGTGAGTACACTGACTGCTGGCATTTATGAAGCCAACTAATTGCACTCCTCCCCCGCCCATCAATCCATGACAGACAACAAGGCCAGCAACCTGCGAACATTGAGCAATAACATATGGGTGAGTTGGGTTCTTAGATTGTTAGGATGAGGGACTGAGGGAGCCGTCTAAACACGAATATTCTGCAGGCCGAGAACCAAGAGAGCTCACCGCCACCTACTCCGCTGTACTCGGGAAGCGGCACTCCAGGAGTGTTGAATTCCTCAAAAACTGTCTCAATGCCCATTCCAGCAATGGACTCTGATCACGAGCCCAAGACAGACCCAATGCACATTCCAGCAATGGACTCTGATCACGAGCCCAAGACAGACCCAATGCACATTCCAGCAATGGACTCTGATCACGAGCCCAAGACAGACCCAATGCACATTCCAGCAATGGACTCTGATCACGAGCCCAGGACAGACCCAATGCACAGCCAGCCAGCTGCTGAGCAGTCCCAGAGCCATGCATCGACGGAATATTCTAGCGCGATGGATGCACGTAGGTTCATTTCATTTTTCCAGGGCCTACTGATTTTTTTCAACTGTCTGTTGCCCTCTAAGACGAAGACGAATGCCAAATGGAGATCATCGAACAGAATCGTCAACGTGACATTGAGAGAAAATACCAGACGCTGATATCCATTCAAACGGATTTTGTGCAATCATTGGAGTCATTAGAGCCGCACGAGTCCCAAATGCTTGACAGCTACAAATTTCTGCCGCTTGTGTTCGACGAGAAGAGCAAGAAGAGTCTGGTCAAAAATGATGATTCGATACTGAATTTGCGTGAGTTGCCATGGCAGAACACAGCAGCAATATCCTTGCAATACCCTGCTTCTATTTTTTGGCAGCCACTGAGAGTGTGCAAGATCTTAAGGATCGTTGCCACGCGGCCGTTGATTCGGGCTTCATGCTGCTCTACGATCAAGTGGAGGACGTCCAGTTGGCCAACGATGAGTTCGAGGCGTCCCAACAGAAAGATAAGCTGCTGGTCAAGCTGAAGGCTCTGCAGGTAGGCAGTGATTGAGCTCAATTTCTGGCGCAGAGCTCATCGCTCTCTCCCCTTGTTTGTCTATAGCTTCGAAAAATGGCCAACATCGTTGAGAATATCGATCTGGTGTGTGGATCAACCATCGGGCAACAGGATGCGCACAACAAGCATATCTACCGCGAAATATACAAGCTGCGCAAACAGAAGGAGTTCATGGAGTCGCGCATTCTAAATATCACCAAGGATCACAGCGAGCAGTTGTATCGCCTGCAGGCGGCTCTCGAGGAAAAGCTAAAGGCGAAGCAGTCAGAATTGGCGAAGCTGCAGCAGCTGCTGTCGGAGTGCGAGGCACAAAGAGACGAGCACGCATGCCGCCTGGAGACACTGAATAAATCTCTGAGGAGCAAGGACAACACCATCGAATCGGTAATGGCCGAATCGAACAAGCAAATGTCTCTGTGAGTAGTGCAGGAGCGAACCACTTGCCAGTTGAACTGTGACCCCATTTGAACTATCCCTGAACAGCAATGTGGATCTGGAGCATCTGTTGGAGGAGGCGAGTGCCGAGCTGGTCCGGACACGGAAAGAGGTCGAAAATAGCAGGGAGCATATCGCGTTTCTGGAGAGCGAGTGGAAGGAGAACCGCAAACATCGATCGGAGGATGACGAGCAGGACAAGCAACACGAACAGGAGGAGAAGGGCACGCTGCCGCTGTTCCCATTGCCAACGTGCGGCATTAGGTGAGGCGACCCAACCAACTAAGGGATAACTCTGGTGCAGAATCAAATCCGCAGTGTGCAGCAGGTGCTCTCAGATCTGGAGCATGTCAAGTCGCAGCTGTACAAGTCCCAGAAGCTGGTAGGCGAGCTGAGGGCACGGTCGAATCGCGACCAAACGATGATATGCAACTACACCGATGAACTGAACAGCTGTCGCGTGAAGGATGTTGAAAGCCGAAGGACCCATCACACACTTTATTTGGAAACAGCCGACAAGGACATGCAGATCAGTGAGGTACGTCCCGGGTAGCCTTTTAGCATTTATTTTGATATGTATCGCGGGCTTGCAGATGCGCCACAAGCTGGACGCAAAGGAGGAGCAGCTGTGCCATGCCTTTGGTAAGCTGGACAAACAGGAGCAGGATATCAGACGCCTGGAGGAGTTTAAAAAGGTGGCCATGGAGGAGAACGCTCGCATCGCACAGGAAAGGCAGAGGCAACAGGAGGCCAAAAACGAAGGCCAACAGAAGATCGAAAAACTAAAGCAGGAGCTGTAAGTACTGCCATTGATCGATTGGTCACCCTAATTAGATATATACATTTCGATATTCCCAATTGCAGTCAGCAATTTGTAGATTTTCTTATTTACAAGGGCAAACCGCCAGCTATAGTTGATGGCCTCATCCACGTATGCAGCATCTGCGGCTGCATACATCAACGAAATCTGGATCCACAGATGCGCATTCAGATTCAGTCGCAGATGGATGCATCTCAGGCATCGCATGGGGTCTACTTTGAGGCGCTGCATCATCAGCTAGCCAAGCAGCAGCAGCAGCAGCAGGAGCAGCGCAACGATCCGATGCAGCAGCATGAGTGCCATACATTCGGCCAAACAACACCCCCCTAAAAAATTCCACAAGGGATTCCAAGAGCATCCAACATTCAGTTCAGAAGCAATCCTTTTGGCACCATTGCATACAAAATCAAACCTGCACAGAGATGCCCAACAGCAGGCCAAGCGTAACCATCAAACGAGGCATCGTCAGTGCCTCAAGTAATCCAAATAGCTCCTTCACTTTTTGCAAGAGATCAGAGATTAGAGATTCCTTTAAATTGTCTAAGTTTTGTTCTTTTTTGTTCCACTGAAACTCGGGCAGATGCGACAGAGAGACAGAGAGCTGGCGACTCAAGTGGTACGAGTATTTAGCACCACTTGAGTCGCCATCTCTGTCGCATCTGCCTGAGTTTCTTATGATCGTACAGATCGTTCAATTAGTTAGTGGAAACTCCCAAGTGGAAGCTCTATAATTTGTTTGTTTATTTCCTTTCAAATGTTGCCTGCAAAAAGAGCTTCTGCCTGAGCGGGGTAAGCAAATTGTTTGGGGGGAATGCAAATTGTTGGTTTTTGTTTTATTTTGGAATAGCAAAAGTCTAATCATCAATATTATCCGTATCATCATCATCATCATTATCATTATCATTATCATCGAAGCTAAAGTAATCGAGTTCGTTGTCATCCTGCTCCTTTCTGCCAGAGTTGTTGTCCATATCATCGTCGTCGTTGTTGTCGTTGTTGTTGTTGGTATCGCTCGACTCTTGACTCTCCTTCAGATCCAGGTCGGGTACTGCCTCTGCCACCGCTTGATCTTCCTCCTCCTCGAAAAGTCCCCGCTCGGCGGCACCCAGCTCGTAAACGGGCCCCTCCTCCGACTCATATTTGGACTTGGGTTTGGGTTTGGGTTCTTCTTCGGCTGTCTTCGTACCCAGCAGCGGTGGCTGCACCTCTACGCGCGTCTGGTTGGTGTGGTGGCTGAGCATGGTCTTGTAGAGATGCGGGAAGCGTCGCTGGAATTCGATTTTGATGCGCAACAGTCGCTCCAGCATATCGGGTGTGAGTAGGCTTCTCTGCTGGGGCATCTGTGGCATGATGTGCGTATCCCGACGCCGCCGGCCGTCGTTGTCCTTGAGGTAGGCCGCATAGCTGCCGCCGCCGGTGTACAGCGCATGGTGGGGATCGTAGGCCTTGTGCGTCCAGGGATCATCGGGTCGAGCCACTGGCAGCAGGCCCATATACGGATGCAATAGGCCCTCGGCGTAGGCGTATTTGGAGCCCAATGTTGGATCGGATTCGGACTCGGACTCGGACTCTGACTCGGTTGCGAATGCGGATGCGGATTCAGATGCGGTTGATGCTGATGATTGACTGAAGATGGACGATGGGGTATGCCATGAAAAATGAAGAAGGGATGCATGAATGATTAGTGGATTCGAGTGATATGTGAGCTGTGGGAGATGGCTTATATATCTATGGCCGACACCAGGCCAGGCCAGGCCAGGCCAGGGCTTAGCGTGCCGCGGCGTGGCCCCTAATGTAAGCTATGATTATGGTTAAATGGTTATAATGGTTACAATGGAGTGCTCGTGCTGATGGTGTGTGGCTTCTGTTGCCTGCGACGCACTCGCTTGCGCTTCAATACGCTGCTGCTGCTGCTCGGCCGCTTGGACTGGACACTGGCGCCTGCTGCTGCTGTCGCTGTTCCTCCTTCTGCTCTGGCCGAGTTCTGCTGTTCGCGCTGCAGCTGCAATTGGAGCAGATCGTTTAGCACGTCCACCAGCTGGTCCAGTTTACTGCCACTGATCCTGGCCACATGACGCGACCCGCCCTCTGGCCCCGTCACCGGCTTCAATCTGGCGGTTAGCTTTGCCTGCCGCGTGGCACGCTGCCAGCCATTGTCGCTCGGATTGTGTCCCCTGCCCCGCCTCTGGCCACTGCTTACTGTGCTACGGCGGCGCACAAACTTGCCCCGCATCGCATAGGGACTGGGTGTGGTGGCCACATGGGAGTCGAAATCTTCATCTTTGAGTGCCGCATTCAGAAGCGCCGCCTGCTGCTTGACTCTGAAGGAGGAATTGGTATAGGAGCGCTTGGCCTTGTTCTCAGAATCGGACTGCAAGTCGGCATAGGAGGCGTCTTCGTTGGAGGCATTCGGCTCATAGTTGTTGCCCTTGGTCAGTTCCAGGTCCTGGCCCTCGGCATACTGGCGTTCGTGCGACTTTGTCAGGTATTCGGTGTCGTAGCCACGATTGGCCAGCATGCGCTGCCAGGTCTTCTCGTCCTCGTATTCCATGTGGGCCATGGCCAGGTCTGAGGCGGAGGCAGTCACACCGTCTGCGCTCTCATCCGTCTTGGCAATGGCATTCGCATGCAACAGCTTGGATGGAAATTGCCTTGGGGTGGGGCTGGTGGCGGTGCTGGTACTGGTGCTGGTGCTGCTGGTGGTGCTGGTGCTAGTGCTGGTGCTAGTGCTGGTGGTATCAGTGGCTTCTGTTGTGGTTGCCTGGGCACCGCTTGGTGTGGTGTCTTGAGGGCTTTCCTCCTCCTTCTTCTTCTCTAGTTTTGCCAACTTCTTCTCCTGCTCCGCCTTCGATGCAGCCACAGTGGCTATCAGCCGCAGATATTTGTCGCTGAGCAGCGACAACTCGGACTTCAGCTCTGCGATGGTGCTGTGCAGATGCCCGAACTCCTTCTGTAGATCCTGCGAATTGTTTGCTTTGTGTGTTTCGTTTGCTGGATGCGAAGCGGCCACCGCTGAGTCCTGTTGCATTTTCGGAGCTCCCACTGCCGTTGTGGCTGTCGGTTCCGTTGTGCTGGACACTGTGTGCTGTGGCATGTAGCTCTGCTCTCGATGATGGTGGTGGGGATGCGTCTGCTGCAGCTCGTCCTCCTGTTGAACGCCTTCGGCATAATCTTCGCCGCCAATCTCCAGCGGCTCTTGACTGGCCCTCTCCAGGGCCTCACGTATGGAGGCGGCATTGTAGCGCATCAGCGCCTCGGCGGGATCCTCATCCGGACTGAGGGTGATCTCCTTCAGCCCCAGCTTGTACTCCCGCCGCAGAGCGTTCAGAGAGCTCTCATCGATGGTCTCCAGGGTCCCGTATTCGGCTTCGCGCCTATGGCGACCGCTGCGGCACCGACAGCCCCGAATAGCACCCGCCACTCCTGCGCCGCTGCATTGGCACCCCCTGCCGCAGCGGCAATGGGAGCTGGCACAGCCGCAGCCCTTCTGGGCCACATTCCCCAAAGATCTGTGAAAGTTGGCTAACCTTTTGTGTAGTCGCTGTGGCGACGTTGCTGTTGGCGTTGTCGTTTCTAGGGTCGTCTGGTTACTGCTTCGCTGCTGCTGGTGGTGCTGCTGCTGCACTCCGTTGGGATCGCCGGAATTTATTGTCTGAAATGCGTCGCCTGTTTAATGACATGAAGAGGACCACGGAGAGAGAGACCAAACCAAAAGAGAGGCGAATGAATCTTATGAAATGGTTCAAATGAAGGCAACTCCACGTGTCTACGTGTATTCGTGGTGTGGCGTGGTGTGTGAATGCTCTTGGTTGTGGCTGTGTGTGGTGGAGGAGTGGTTTCAATAGATCTCAACTTACCCTCGCCATAGTCTGATGCTGTCGCAGCATCTCGTCGACCTCCTCATTGCCAACAGCAGCCCGATATCCACCGCCGCCACCGCTCGAATAGCCGCCGCCGGAGCTCGAATAGCCGCCGCTTCCTCCGTAAGCATTCGATCCGTAGCCGCCACCACCGTAGCTGGTCCCATAGCTGGGCTGTGGCCGGGTCTGCTGCTGAACGGCATAGTAGTTGATCACTGTGGGCGATCCTTGGCCATGCTTAGACTTCTTGCGCTTGTTTCCGCCGACGCCCAGAAGATCGACTGGAGATGATAAGATTGAGTCACGATCACGTTGACGGCTACGAAATACGCCATAGAGATTACCTTTGTGGCGTGCCTGGCCAGGTACCTCCGGCATCTGTGGCTCTGCCTCGCCCAGCATCGCTTCAACATCTTCTGCTGCGTTGGCATCCCCCTGTTGGGGCTCGCCCCACTGACGGGCTGCGTGCATTGGGTCCTCATTCCGTTGCTGCATCTTCATGTCCAGCTGCTGCATTTGCATTGGATCCATTGTCATTTGTCTTTGCTGCTGCTGCATCATCATGGGATTCTGTTGCATTAAGGCCTCGTGTTTCTCCGCTTCCCACTGCCTCTGCTGCATCATCATGGGATTCTGTTGCATTAAGGCCCGTGTTCTCCGCTCCCTCTGCGCATCATCATGGGATTCTGTTGCATTTGTGGAGGCTCCATTGCCATCTGTCGCTGCTGCATCATCATGGGCTGCTGATCCATTCGCACGGGCTGTTGCATCATCATCATCATCGGCTGCTGCTCCATGCGCTGCTGCATGTGCATCATGGGCTGCTGCTGTTGCATTTGCGCATGCTCCGCCATCATCTGCCGCTGCTGCTGCTGTTGCTGTTGTTCCGCCATCATCTGCCCCTGCTGTTGCGCCTGCTCCGCCATCATCTGCCTTTGCTGCATCATCATGGGGTTCTGTTGCAGTTTCGCCTCCTTTTGCTCGGCTTCCCACTGCCTCTGCTGCATCATCATGGGCTGCTGTTCCATTTGCCCCTGCTGTATCATCATGGGCTGCTGCTGTTCCGCCATCATCTGCCTCTGCTGTTGCATTTTGGCTTCGTTTTGCTCGGCTTCCCATTGTCTCTGCTGCTGCTGCTGCATCATGGGATTCTGTTGTATTTTGGCCTCGTTTTTCTCGGCTTCCCACTGCCTCTGTTGCATTTGAGGCATGGGCTGCTGCTGCATCTGCATCTGTCGCTGCTGCTGCTGCTGCATAATTTGTGGATTCTGTGGCTTCCCTTGCGCCTCTCCAGTGGCTCGGTAGGCGGCATAGATCTTGTCCTCCTTGCTCTTCTCCTGGTCCGCTGTCTGCTGCTCTGTTGCCATGCGGTAGGCGTAGGCCATGATCTTGACAATATCCTCCTTGGACATGGATTCATCCGAGCGCATGGTCTGGCGCTTGAAGGCGGCATGGTTGGCGCGCAACTTGCGCTGTGCCTCCTTGTGCAGCAGACGGCGGACGTAGTCGTCGCGCAGGACCTGCTCAATGTCCGCCCGTGTGATCTTGTGAACGGGAGTGCGACTTAGGGTATAGCTGACCTTGTAGGGGGAGCTGCCACTGCTGGAGGCGGCACTCGAGCGCATCTCCTTGGCCACGCGCTCAATCTGCTGGAGCATCTTCAGCTCGGCAATCACCTGGCGCTCGAACGCCCTCAGCTTTTCCTCGACGCGCAGATCCTCCACCGACTTGGGCTCGCCCTCATCGCCCTGACGGTTCATGGGCATGCGAAACCAGAGCAGTGGCACCCGCTTCTTTTCATCCAGATCGTTCTCCTGCGTGTAGGCCGCCTCGGGCCTCACACGCACCTCGGATATGTCCGAGGCCTGGCCATCAGAGCCGGGCGCAGGGCCAGGACTGGCGGGTGGCGGTGCTCCCGGCCACATCTGTCGCAGATTGCTGAAGAAATCTCCGTTGCTGGGCATCGGTGGCAGAGCCTGCTGCGCCTGACCCAGCAATTGATTCACATCAAAGTTGCTGGGCATCGGCGGCAGAGCCTGCTGCGCCTGACCCAGCAATTGATTCACATCAAAGTTGCTGGGCATCGGAGGCAGAGCCTGTTGTGCCTGACCCAGCATTTGATTCACATCAAAGTTGCCGGGAGTCAGGAACGCGAAGGGATTCGGAGCTGCCACTGGGGCAGCTGGTTCATCGGCTGGCTTTTCTGCGGGCGGGGCAGGTTCTTCTGGGGCTGGCGGCAGACTGGCGGGCGGCGGTGGAGGCGCGGCACCCAGGATGCTCCCGAATCCGAATTGCGGCATTGTTGGAAGCTGCATATTGGTAAGAGCCTGACCCACATTGGGGGCCATCTGTCCGATATTGAAGCTATCCGGATTAAAGTTTGCCGGATTCATCAAGCCTTGGGCAAAGTTTGCGTTGGGCATTTGGGCCAGGAGCTGGCCGAACGGGTTCGGCGGTGGTGGGACATCCTGTCGGGGGCACGGGGTCTTGGCCGTGGGATCATCGGCCAAGACTAGGACCACCTTTGATGCCGCCGCCGCGGGCTGGTAAGCATCGGGCACGGCGCCGAGGAGCGAGGAAGCCGGAAAGAGCGCTCCCCAATGCAGTAGTCTGTCCAGGGCGGGGAAGACCATGAAGAAGGCATCTAAGGAGGGCACACCGCTGCGCACAGGGCTGAGGGGTGGCATCTGGGCAAGGATCTGGACAGGAACAATCTTCAGTTGGGTACAAGCACTCGCGATTCGAATAACTCACCTCTTCCCCGGTGGGAATGCGGGTCCTCGTAGGGGTGGTGGCATTGCCAGAGATCTCCTGCTCGTCAGCATCCCCCGTTGTGGCTGTGGCTTGTTCGGGCATATCCTGGCCAAGGACTTGGCCACAGAGCACCAGCGCCAGGAGTGGCGCCAGCAACAACAGGCACTGCAATCTCATCTCGGACAGGTGTCGCTCTTGGAATGAAGATCGTTCGATATACGCCGGAGCTCGTTCGCCGACTGACTGCTGCAGCCATCACGACACTGGCCCAAATAGATTTTTTGCCCCCATGGCGACCATTCGGGTGGGCCGAGCAAATTGTCGACGTTGGCGAATTCGTGCCCCGCCGGTCGGTGGCTGTTTAGCTGCATTTTGCACGCACCGCGCGAACAGTACATCGTTTCCGTATGTGTGTGCCCCCGATCCGTGGCACCTACTCTTCCACAGCAGCTCTTCTGGCTGCAGCAGCAAAAAAACCTTGCTAAAAGTTCCATGGAATCAGCGTAAATGATGCACTGCAAACAATACGTCGCTGTCCAGGGCCGGAGTGCTGCGGCCAAAGTGGAGCATCGTAAGGCCAAACCTTAACTGCAAATTTTACATTCCTTAAAATATGATCATCCACTCCATGAGTACTTACAATGTCACCTATACATAATCTGTATTTTGCACCCTGGGCCCAAGGTAGTCCGTCCCTGGCAAGCGGTGGGCAGCGGTAGCGGTGTGCCCTTCATGGCTTCTTTGGTGTTTCTTTTGATCCGAGAAATTCTTGCAGCGTTGCCGCCCCGATGCCGCGAACTATGTGTGTCACCATGGTGCAGATCAAATGGCTGAGCTCAGCTCGTTTTTGCTTTTCTGCTTGTCCAGACACGAGAAACAAAAGAAAAGATTGTTTATTTTTTTTTGGCCAGCGGGTGCTGCTGTGGTTTTGGTCTGCCGTCAGCGGAAAAGCACACACACACACACACGAATCACTCACTGCACCGCAGTACAGCGACCTTTAGAATCTGTCTGCTGATGCACATTTATCATGCCAAGACAGATAATATTGTGAAATTACTCATGGGCGAAAACTATGAAAATTCAAAGAAGCACGCTGCTGCATTCCGTTAGCTCGGTTCGTTTGCGGGGGGCAGGGGTGGTAATAACGCCGTTACAATTGGTCATTTGCAATTGATCAGCCTATCGATCTATCGGAGTCGTGCTCAGAGAGCAAACGATTTCCAATACTGGACATTAGAATAAGGAATAGACGTTTGCCAGCACTGACCGAAGCTGCGCGGTAATTTAAGCGGATAGTGGGCAAAATATAAACAAATTTATTTGATATCCATTTAAAATGCATCTACAAATGCCAGATATGGTGCAACACTTAGGGAGAAGGGAGATTCCGAAGAGATTGACCCGTCCATGACGTAAAAACATATACTTTGAGTAAATATTATATATTTAAGGCTAATTTATAATGCATTTACAGATGCCAGCGATACTGGAGGTCCCAGCACGCAACATTACAATAACGACCCCCCGTTAAACGGTGCATGCAACCAAATGCCATCCAACCAGCCAACACAGTTGCAAAGGAGCCACCGGGGAATCATGTTGCCAGGTGCCGTACACAATTTGAGCCTGGTCTACGCCATTGTGTGGGCCATTGACCATCATTACGGGCAGTCGACTAGCACGGCCCTGGCCCTCGTGCAGTTCGCCACCAGCGAGGCCAGTCGGGGCTACCACAATGATCTGATTGACGCGACGCTGTGTCGTGCCTCGGGTGCGGGTAAAATTCAGTTTCTCCTCGAGGATGAGCTCATGGACACGACGGAGAACATCGATGAGTTGCCACCGCCCAGTGGGGTGACGGGACGACCCAGTGCCATTTGGTTTTTGGACAGCCTGCGTGCGTACATTCGACTGGAGCGCTATCTCCTTCAGGCGGGCAGCACCTACAAGCGGAACGGCTACTTCATCATTGTGTATACGGGCCGGGAGACGCAGCCCCTGGAGACAATCAAGATCATGTTCAGGCGCCTCCTCAACATCTATGTGCTCAATGTGAATGTGTTCCTGATGCGACGCGGCACCGTACAGATGTACACCTACTATCCGTACGGACCACATCGCTGCCGGTCGTCGCTGCCCGTGTACTACGGCTCCTTTCAGGGCGTGCCCTCCAGTGCGGAATTCGGACTCCGGAAGCAGCTCTTTCCCAGCAAACTGACCAACATGCATGGCTGTGAACTGGTCGCAGCGACCTTCGAGCATCGGCCCTATGTGCGAATCGATGACGATGCCAAATCGCCCAACGGTCGGCGTCTGCACGGCATCGAGGGAATGATCTTTAATTCCCTGGCGGAGCGCATGAATTTCACAGTCAATCTGCTGGAGCGTGAGGACAAAGATCGGGGACAAATTCTGCCCAATGGCAGCTTCACCGGCATTCTCCAAATGGTGATTAAAGCCAGCATTTCACTTGGGTCGCATCGATCTACAAATAATTGTTTGTTATTCCATTCGCAGATATTGGAGGGCGATGCCAACATCACATTCGTGTGCTTCATGTACAGCAAGGAACGATCGGATGTGATGCTGCCCAGCATGTCCTATACGAACTTTCCCATTGTGCTGGTCATACCGGGCGGCGCGACAATGACGTCGCTGGAGCGCCTCATGAAACCGTTTCGCTTCATCATCTGGTCCTGTCTGATTGTGAGTGTGCTGCTCGGCCTCAGCCTGATTGCCGTGCTGCAGGTAATGCCAGTGCCAGCGCTGCGCGAGCTGGTGCTCGGTAGAAGCAATCGATTGCCCTGCCTGGGCCTGTGGTACAGCCTCATGGGCGGCCTGGCGCTGCATACGCCGCGGCGCAACTTTTCACGCTACCTGCTGGTCATGTGGCTGCTCCAGACTCTGGTGCTGCGTGCCGCCTACACCGGCCAGCTGTATCTGATCCTGCAGGATGCTCAGGTGCGCACACCACTGCAGACGCTGGCCGAGGTGCTGGCCAAGGATATGCGTTCTACATGCTGCCGGCATTGAGGGGCGTCTTCCGCGACTCGCTGCTCAGCACAAACGTCCATGTGGTGACGAGCCACCAGGCCGTGCTACGTCGACTGCGCGACGAGGATGATCCGGGCATAGCGGTGCCGCTGCTGCTGCCGACAGTCTATGAGTTTGACTACGAATCCGGGCCGAACAAGCGGCACTTAACCATACTGCCCGATGCCCTGATCACAGCCCCACTGACGCTCTACATGCGTCCGCATTCGTACCTGAAGCGACGCATCGATCGCCTGCTGATGGCCATGATGTCGTCGGGGATTATCTATCGCTATCGCCGAATGTATCTCGATCGTATCGAGCGAATGGCCAAACGGCGCAACCTGGAGCCGACCCAGCCCATGACCATTGTGCAGCTGAGTGGCGTCTTTGTCTGCTTCTTGGCCCTCCAGCTGCTGGCTAGCATCGTCTTTGTACTGGAGCGTCTGGCCCTCAGGCATTCGCGTTTCCGCCAAGCTCTGGATGTGGCCAATCGCTACATAGCCTGATCCCTCATCACGCACACTTTTAAGCTTTGCATCGAGTTTTTATTAATATATTGAGTTAAATATTGGGTTAAAACCTCTCGATTAACAAGGCCAATCGATGCCAGCGTGGCCGCTGGCTGAGCAGCTCCAAGGCAAACACACAAACGCCCACAGCCAAGGCGCCGCACAGACAGTTTAAGGCGGCCACAATGAAACCCATGGACTCGGCAAATCCCACCCTCGCATCCACATCCGACAATTGGCGCCTTTTGCGCGTACCCCTGCCATCCGTTGTGGTGGGCAGATTGGCCCAGGCCAGGCGCTGTGCGTGGTGCTGGAACAGGCCGAAGCTGCGCATGCGGAACAGCAAATGATTGATGATGTCCAAGAAGTAGGAGTCGCGCGGAAAGTACATGCACAGCATATTGTCCAGGATCTTCTCGGCGAGAATGACGAACCGGTGGCGCCGCTCCTTGTGCTGCGTGAGATGGTGGGCCAGAAAGGTGATGCTGGTGAAGGCGCCCGTGAGCGGAGGCTCTTCGAGCAGTGCATCGAATATGTCCACCGGCTGGCCCTCTCTGATCTTTATGCGACCCTGGAACGGCGGCAGCTTCAGCGTCATGCGGTAGGTGGCATGATCCGTGATGAAACCATAGCCGGCGGCCAGCATCTCCTCCAAGGTGTGCGGCATGGGCTTGGACGGTGAGTTGTGCAGAAAGTTGAAGACGGATCCCTCGTAGCAGGCGCGCACCACGAAGCTCCAGAGCAGCCAGCCGGCCAGAAACGGAGCGGGCACTCGGCCCCAGCGCCTCAGCGTCAGGCATCGATGGACAATGGCCAGGCCGCCAAGCAGCAGCCAAGTGTACGGCTCGAAGGGGAACAGCATGATCTCGTAGTTGCTGTACCTGCCGCGCGGCTTCAGCACAATCACATAGGCGATCTGACTGTACGGCCACGTGGCGGTGAGGTGGGCCTGCCGCTCCGGCGTGCAGGCGGCCGAGCCCAGTGTGAGATTCGCCCGACGATCCTGGAGCATGCGATAGGCACCCGTCATGGTGCCATTCGGGTAGCTGTAGCCACCAATCAGATCGCTCGGCACGTTGGGCATCAGCTGGAGGGTGAAATTCATTCTGGTCGCCAGTATCCGGAGCAGCAGCCCGTCCAGGCCATCGATCTGATCCTCCACCCGATGCCGCTCCCAGCGTAGGTTCATGTACGGCGCTATCGGCCACACAATCACGCTCAGCGGACAGCCATGCAGGTTGCCCAATCGATAGGGGAACATCTCACGCAGTCGCCACTGCCGTTGGGGCAATTCCACGGGCTCGGTGTTGGCACAGCTGCCGGATGTGTACGGCAGAAAGGCATATTCCGTTAGCGTTGATCGCTCCATGTGGGCCAGCAGGAGCAGCACTTGCAAGTTGTACAGGCGATGCAGAAAGTGACCAAAGATCAGGGACATGCTGCGCCGCTGTACGCTCACATCTGGCTGCGATGTCAGCCACACAATCAGGTACATGCCCTTAATCTGCAAGGCGGAACAGGCGGCTCTGTTGACAGATTGATGATTACTCGCATGTTCATCGGGCAAAGATTATAACTCACATTGCCTGCTCTGGACTCTGGACAAAAAGCAGCTGCAGGCGCACTCGAACACTCAGCTCGGGGCTAAGCTTCGACGCCAGCACCACGGGCACCAGCTCCTCCCGGCTCAGGCTGTGGTCGAGGATGCAGCGCACCAGATTCGCCTCCTTGCCGCCCAAGTGCTCGTAGTCGGTGCTGACGAAAGCACTCAGATTGTGCGCGGCACAAGTGTTCACTCGGATCCGGTGCAGCGCATCGGTTATCTTCCCGACCAACGGCTCATGCAGCGACTTTTCGACGGGCCACGCACTAAGCTGCATCTGCAGAAGCCCCAGAATTTGGAGCACAATCCCAGCACTCGTCAACTCCATGTCGATGGCCAAACTGTAGGAAATGTTCGCGCCATGGAAGAGCTTTTTGGTTTGCAACTGCAATTTCGCAATCGATTGAAGGTAGTTCCCAGTAGACTCCTTTCCTATCAATTGCATATATCTTTGAAAGTACAGTGCGTTTCGGTAAATTACAGACTACAGCTTAGGTTATACATACGGGTGTGTCTGGTACAGCCATTCCAGGTCCTACGAAACGAACACAAACCCAAACTTGAAAGCTTTACTTACCACTCTTACGTGTGAGAATAAATATACCGATCAAATGGAATTGACACTTTTTTCGCGGTATTCCTTTGGTGACGCCCAATCCAAACAATTACCTAAAATGGATCTCCAATTGGGTGCTCAGAGGAACCACAAATATAAGCCCAGAGTGGCATTGGCTAGGATTACTTATGGATATCAAAATGGTGTACCACGTGTGTTATTTTTCATGGCACAGAAGCTGCTAAACTATCGATGGAATCAACGGTATCAAGACGCTAATAGCTTATCCCAAGTGCTTATTTTCCTTTTAACTCGGAATTTGAAAGTTTCTTAAGCTGGATGATTAGCTGCAAGGAATTTTGAAAACATAGCAGCCCGTTTTATGCATCTACACCTACATAATTATTTTACACACAAAACCATCGAAAGTATCGATTGTATCCACTATCGATAGTTTAGCCATGTACTCTTGCCTATGTACCAGCTGTCAATGTGGTTAGCTGTCAATTGGAAAGACAGATAGATATAGTTTTTATACCCGAGACGAATACAACTGCTCGTAGACAGCAGCAAGCAAAAATGTAAGTAATACTTTAATAATAATTTTAATCAATCACACCGATTCGTGTGCAAACCCCCCAGCAGGTCTGTTTTCAAAATGTCTGCGCTTAACATTGATGGTTTTTGCTCGCTTTTTAGCATGCTGCAAGGATATTTGCCGTTCCTTTTCCCCAGAAATGTGGGAGCCAATGCGGACGACTCTATTGATCAGGGGATTTCGATTGGCAACGATATTGAGCCATCTGCCACAATAACTTCAGACATTTCTGGGTGCGAAACAAAGCGACGTGCCAGCTTCCGCTTTGGAGACTGAGGAGAACCAGGACAACAACTCGACTGACAGCCACGACACGTGCCGCTGTCACAGCATCATCCAAATTGAATGTGGAAACAAACTTCCATCCCAGAGCCAACTTCGATCGCTACTACGGTCCTTCCGTGACGTCATTCCGTCACACTTCGATCCATGCCTCGATTTAGGCCACCGTCCACGCATATGTGTTCAATGGGGACAACCACATTGTTAAGATAGCGTTGCACATGCTAGAGGAAGAGTGGCTGGACTTGATGTCGCGCCATGACGAGGCCGAGCTACGTTTGGACCCTGTGTCTTCGGCTACACAGGAGATCGAATTGCTCGCCGAACTGGACGTTATGTGCTTTACTCTCAAGCGTATCGAGTGGTTGGACGAGCCAATGGCTCCCCACTCTGATGGCGATGAAAGCGTCTAAACCATGGAAGCATGTTCTAGCCTCTAGACGCCAGTTAACTGTTTTCGTTCATATATTTTAATAAAGTTTTTCGGCCACCATTTGTTTCCTGGTTTTGCACTTTCACAGGGCTGGCGCAGGGTGACTCTCGCTGGAATGGCCGTTCGCTTGTGGCACATTTATACAGCGTACAGAAGCAGCGTGAACTATCGATTATGGCGCCCAGGCGGCGATTGAAATGAATTTTTCGTACGAATAGTAAAAGCCCTCACTGTGTCCTGTAATGCATTAACAAATCTGTGTTCATCACTTAAACTAATTGCTGCGTACACAACCCAACCATTGGGGTGGGCACACACCCGGCTGCAATGGCTGTGACTGTGACTGTGGCGTTGGCGTTGGCGGGGCATGTGCGTGACAGGTTTCGGTGTCAGTATTATGCATGAGGCGCATAACCATAAATTAACACCATCAACGGAGCAGACACACACGCACAAGTTGTGCCGTGCCTCAGTCAGGCAGGCATGGGTCACCCCACTCGCCCGTCAGTGTCAGGCGACATGCAAACGGCATGTGTCGGCCCGTAAGAGGTTTACAAATCGCCCGACACCACACCACAGTAGCGAGTGTGGGTGGTGTGAGGGTAGCCTACAAGAACAGGCGTTGCAGTCGAACCAAACGCTGTGACAGAAGCTCCAGCAGGAAGATGAGCAGACTGAGCAGATGACCCAACACGACAAGCAGGAACATGGCATAGAGCTCGACGAGACCGAGCTGCTTGAAGCCCTGCTCGTTGCGCAGGTAGCTATCGACGAGCTCCCAGCGGGCCCAAACGGCGACCAGGCCCGTGGCACGCATCCACATGATCTCGTCGTTCAGGTGATCGATGAGAAAGGAGTGCTTGCTGAGGTACATCGTCATCTGCATGCTCACAATGTCCTCGGCAATGATCTCAAAGTGATCGGCCACCACCGGCTGGCCCGTTCGCTGGCCCAGCCTTCGGGCCCGCTCCTCACTCAGGCGATTGAAGTGAATGTACATTTCCAGGGCCGAGGCAGAGACATGGCGGCTCTTCTCCGCATTGGCCACCAGATACTCGAGGGCCGCCATCTCCCCGCCATCGGGGAGAATGCGGAAGGTCATGTGCTCGACGCTGGGTATCTCGGAGAGCACCTCGTGCACCAATGGCGTGACAACCACCGTGTAGTTCTGCTGCACCAGCGCATCGATGGACTGCGGCCATCTGTTCAGCTGGTGGGTGCGGATCAGATGGTAGAGCAGGCCCTGGTACACCGTCCGAATGATCAGCGTGTACAGCATCAGCAGGAGGCAGTAGAGGCGTCCGGTGTGCGAGCGTGGCGCCACCTGCAGTGGCATGCCCACAAATATCAGCTCCAGATTCAGCCACAGTCTCGACTCGGGCCGCGTCTCGCGCAGCAGCCGCTCGATGGCCAGCTGCAGCAGCGCCGACAGGGCCAGGACCCCGGCAATTGCCAGCCAAATCTGCAGCCGGTACGGATAGAAGAGAATGTCCAGCGAGCTCAGCTCAAAGCTGGAGTCCAGGATGCCGAACACCTCGCGCGTCTGGTGGTAGTTGTGCGTGGAGGTGGCCTGCTGGCTGCGGTCCACCGTCTGCCGTATGCCGCCCAGCGTGAGATCAGCCTCGTGACGACGCAGCTGGAAAGTCGATTAAAAATTCGATCAATTGGATCAATTGGATGAAGTGATCTACTCACCAGCTCCAGGGCCTCGTCGCGCACATTTTTAGCCTGAAGCTGACGCACGGCTATGGAGAAATTCATCCGTTCGGCGAGGGTCAGGAGCAGGCGACCCTCGTAGCCACCGCTAATGCTGCTCTCCGAGTCCGATCCGACTCCGACTGCGAGCGAACCGCCACGAATGGCGGCACATTCCACAGGGCACAGCGCAGGGGACAGCCAAAGAGATTTCGCAGCTTCCGTGGAAAGATCTCCGGCTCGAGGAGGACGCTGCCATTGTAGCGATTGATGAGACGCGGCGACATATCCGCACAGCTGCGCACACTGTACGGATAGTAGCTGTAGATGAGCACATCCCCGTTGGACTTCTGCACCTGGACGCTGCAGTGGATGAGGTGGTAGCGCCAGCAGTACTCAAAGATCTGTCGCATCTCCTGCTGCAGCAGATGGTCACGGGCCTGCAGGAAAATGAAGTAATGCTCATTGTAGTTGTACTCGCGGGCATAGTACTCCATCCGTATCTCGGAGAAGGCCGCAAACGAGTCCGTGAATATGACATTGAAGTGCCTGCGGCCCGCAACCGGACGCCAGGGCACACCCTCCTCCACCTTGACAATCTGGAGCGGGGCCAGGCCCCAGTTGCGGAAGAGTGTGCTCATCATTTCGTTGTAGAAATTGCACGTATGCTTGCTCCGACAGCACAGTATCAGCACCAGGGAGGGCGTCACACTCAGTATATGATGGTGGACAACGTACAGCAGGGCCTGGGCCACAAATTCGTTAATTTGGTTCTCCTGCTCGCCGGACAGATCGCAGTACGAGCTGAGCAGCCCGGTTATGTTCATCCTTCGATTCGGTTGCCACACGAATGAACAATGGGCCGCCAGACACGAACCAGCGAAGACCCTCGGAACTCCAGCCATCCCATCCCGATACAAGCCACGATACGAAAGTTTTGTGTGTGACTTTCCCCCGTTTAATTGCAGCAAAAAGAAAGAAAAAACTTTTGCCCATGATTAATGGTCAGAGGAATGCCGCGGAGCATTAGGCACGGTCCTGCCAGCGTTGGAGCAGCAGTTCGCCGGCAAAGACGCAGCCACAAATGGCGTACAGCAGCGTCATAAACTTGTAGACGCCGGACAGCTGGGCATTGCTGATGTACCGACGCCGATCCCGTTCGTGGGGCAGCTCCTGCTGCCTGCTGCGGTGGGCCACGAAGGCGGAACGTCGCCACGCGTGTATGAATCCGGTGTCGTCCAGTCGCCGCAGTACCCCGTTCACCTTCTCGTACAGGTACGAGTGCTTGGGCATGTAGAGGCCAGCATATTCCACATTCACCGGCTGCTCCACCACATGGTAGCTGTCCGGGCGGCTGCTGGACCGCAGATATGCCAGCGTGACGTCCCTGCCGGCTATGGCAAAGATTTTGCGCCCTTCCGCCTGCTGCAGCGAGTCGAGCACCTCTTGGTCGTAGGGCGTGGCCAGGCCAGTGAAGCTTTCCGTGCGGTGCGCCACCAGCGGCAGCTCGTGCAGCATTCGCAGCGTATTGGCGGCGCACACGCCCCGAAAATTCTCGGACAGCAGCTGCTCCAGGGAGTCCGGCAGCGCTGCAAACAGCTGCATGCGGATGAGTTGGAAGAGCAGCGACTGGTAGCAGATCCTCAGCGGTATCACGGCATACAGCCAGTGGGCGAGGACCAGTCTGTGCAGCCAGCAGCGTGGCAGGCGGCTCAGCGACTGGCCCAACAGCAGCTCCAGCACCGGCAGTGCAGCGCAGCGAATGGCCATTTGCAGGGCCAGTGCGCCGACCAGGATCAGCCACACGGACCACTCGAACGGAAACGTGAGCAGCGCCAGCGAACCCACGCGATAGCTCTCCCGCTGCAGCACGGCCACCAGGGGCGCCGAGTAGTACGACATTCCAGTGGTCAGCAGCTGGTTCCGGCGCGCCGTCTTACGAAAGTATCCGAGACTGAAATTGACCCGCCTCTCGAGCAGCTGCACACCACACACGAGGAGGAGCAGCAGCAGAAACTTATGGTGATTCGAAGGGGTGGGGTAGGGACTTAACTTACCCACTCAATGGGCCCCTCGCGGGTGCCATTGGCCAGGCGATAGTGCTCCGGCGGCAGGATCGTCAGGTTGAACAGCTGCACCGTAAAGTTGAGCAGGCGGGCCAGATGCTCCACCAGCTGGAACTCAAAGCCGCTGGCACGCAGGCGCCCCTCGGCCCATGTGAGCTCCACGAATGGCGGCTGGTTCCAGGTGAGCACAGAGATGGGGCAGCCATGCAGCTGGTGCAGCTTCTCGGGGAACATCGTCGCGTTGACCATGCGCTGGCCATCAAAGTGATTCACCTGCACCGGCTGGGCCGCCTGGCAGTGCTCGGACGTGTACGGAAAGTAGCTGTACACGAGGACATCCACCTGGGCGGTCTGGACCATCACGTTGCAGTGCAGCCAGTAATGCTCCAGGCAGTGGTCCAGTATCAGGCGCAGCTCCATGGGTATGAGATGGTCGCGCGTCTGCAGAAAGATGAAGTAATATTCCGGATCATCAAAGTCCGCATTGTCCTCGGTAATGTTTGAGTTTCTGCAAAAGGTAATCCGCATGGATTACGACCATCGCAAGTGATACACTGATCCCCCTACTCACAGCAGCCCCTCGTACGAGTCCACCAGCAGCAGGTTGAATCGCTTTCCGGCCGGGCACACGCACCCGCAGCCGCTCGATGTCCGTGCTGAATCGCAGCAGCTGCACAGCTGCCACACGCCACGAATAAACCAGCGTGTTCATCACATACTCGAACCAACGGGCGGTGCCCTCATCCCGCGTCGATATGGTCACCACCAGCGTGGCACTCAGCTGCGCCAGCACATTCTCGATGACATACCGCAGGGCACGGGCCACATACACGTTGGCCTCCTCCACCTGCAGATCGATGCGGGAACGCTCCAAGTAGCTGCAGTAGATCTCGCTGCTGGTGTTCATGTTGCGCCACTAAACGCACTTCTGGCTCTGGCTCTGCCACAGCATGGGCTTGGGGTCCTTCAAATCCAGTCATAGATCCCAATCTCATTGCAAGCTAATTAAAAGCAAATATGCCTTTGATTCTTGGCTATGCTTTTTGGAGCGGGAGGCAGACACACACAATAAAATTATAATAAGTTTCAGTTCGCTTTGTGAACACTCTTCCAATCCTGATTTTTATGCTCCTTGGGCTTGCTTTTAATGTTTACACTTTTATTATGATTTTGGCTAATTTTTAGCACATTTTTATGAGCTTTTATAACACTCTTTTGGTGTTTTTCTTTCGAGGTTTCGAAGTTGCAGCGCTGCCTACAGACAACTTGCGACAACTCGCTCTTTTCTGGCCACACACACGCTCGTTCTGGCATCCCACTCGTTGCTAAATAACGCGTGACGCCTCGCAAATTGACGCCATATGCAAAATTTTCTCAATTGCAAGTTTCTAAAGTAAAGTAAAATAAAATAAAGAACAAACAATGAATATCAACCCAATTGACCCGATGGCCGATCAAGAGGCATTAAATTACGCCAAGGACCGTAGACTGATAAATGAAATTACTGACGAGCAATATGAAGAAATGGGACTAACACGCTACGCCAAACTGACGGGACAGGGCGGCCTGGTTCAGAGTGATGTGATGTCTGAATATTTGGAATTTCTCTATTCCCTGAAAAAGTACATGCCGTTCCAAGCATACGGCATGCCAGTCGGAATCTCAATCTCTCGTCCGGATGATCTGGAATACATGGGACTGCAGCACCACGTGACCATCGACTACACATACCCGATTGTCGACAATATCTACATGATGGGCAAGATCGCTGGCGCCCATATGCTCGGCGAGCTGTACGCCAGAGGCCTGAGTGTGTGCGACAAAATGATGATGCAGGTGTCCATGCCAGCAAGCTGGGAGTATTGTGTATTCAGTAGTCTGCTGGTTCGTGGCTACAAGGACTGTGCCAAGAATGCGGGCGCCCAGTGGGCGGGCAATCGCCATTTCCGATGGCCCACAAGCTGCATAATTGGCGGTATCGCCTCCACCCACTGCCAGCCGAAGGAGTACATTAGTCCGGATAAAGCGGTCGCTGGCGATGTGTTGCTGCTCACCAAGGCCCTGGGCATCCAGGAGGTGCTCAATGCCCATGAGTGCATGAAGAAGAAGTCGGAACGTTGCGCACAGTGGCTGCGCCTCAGTCAAATTGTCTCCGAGGATGAGGTGCGTGCCGCTTTTCTGCAGGCCATGCGGTCGATGGTGCGTCTCAATCGAGTGGCCGCTCGCCTCATGCACAAGCACAACGCACACGGGGCCGCCCATATTGGCTTCCTTGGTCTGCTGGCATATGCCCAGTCCCTGGTCGCTGTCCAAAAGCAGGCCGTGTCGTTTGTCATTGATACGCTGCCGGTGATCGGCAAGATGGCAGCCGTGGCCAAAGCCAATGCCAATGCCAACGGCGACAAATGCCCGCTACTGCAGGGTCTTTCGGCTGAGACTTCGGGCGGTCTGCTCATCTGCATGCCACGCGAGGATGCCGTTGCCTTTTGCAAGGATATCAAGAGAGAGGATGACTACCCGGCCTGGATCATTGGCCGCGTTGAGAGTGGCAACAGGAAGGCCACCATCACTGAGAATCCCTCTGTTATAGATGTATATTTTCCATAAACTGTAATTGTAATTCTATTTGCTGGATTAAAGCTTACATCCCAGAAGGGGAATACATTTTGTGCCACCTAATCCTTGGGAGTTAGATCTGCGGCTTTACAGCTGGGAATACATCAGGCAGGACAGCATTGGTCGTCGCGCTAGCCAATAACCCAGAAGGATCAAGAAGAAGGGCAATCCCCGCACCAGAATGAAACACACAAAGCATTCGGTATGCGTAGCTCTAGACGAAATAAGCGGAAGATAATTAATAACTGCTCAACGCATTAATATATTTTCATGAATTAAACTGTGCTTAAAAGAGAAAACTTCCAAAGTGTAGCCTGCGCGAGTAATTGGTGCTACGATGTCTGGAAGCCTTAGAAACTACTTAGTGTAAGTGGAACTTTGTTGTCGGTGGCATGAATTCCAGCACTTTATTCGCAAATAATGTAAAATGTTGAATTCGGATTTATTTTGTATCGTTAAAGAACGTTTAATGATCAATTTTACCATACATAATAACTATACATTTAATTTGTATGAAAATGTATTTATTTATATTTATATATAGCTAGCTTATAGTGTAAAGAACTTTGTACCAACTAGTTGTGTATTTGAGCAACAGCTGCTTATGCATTCAGCTCGCTAAGTGTTTTTCTTTGTACATAGCTGCTTAATACTTGGACCTAATGTAAGTTATATTTTAGTTTCTATATATGTGTATTTTTAAAAGGTGTAGCACATATGTATAAGGTTGATTAATTCGACTATTGGGGTTTGTTAGGAGCGAAACTAGGTTAGAGTTGGGGAAGAAAATAATTATATTTACTCATTGCAAGGAAAATGAAATAAATATAAAATTTATTTATTTATTTTAGAATATTCACACGTGTAATATATGTTATATTTATATGGATTATGTATGTAGGTGGAATTTGTGGGCTAGTTAAAAAACATATGCCTGATTGTTCCTTTGCCTGAGCTAATTATCATCATATTATCCAAAGCGCTCATCAAACTTAATGGACTTTTGCCACATGATTTTCTCTGATACTCCACTGTGCACTCTTAGCGACTTATTAATGAATGTGCCACGTTCTCTAGTGGCTTAATGCATAGATTTTATCCATACATAGCAGGTGGATGACATGAATCTATGCGTTGCATACTATCGAAAATTGTTGCCACCACCTTAACCATGGCGTCGGATTCCTTGAGCATTATTGGTATATTTTTAGGCAATTGTTTGAGGGGCAGTTTGAGGTGCGTGCATGACCTCACAAAAGAGTTTTGTTTGACTTTGTTCTAACGAGCCATCGCCATCGCCGCCGACCAACGTCCATCGTCGACGACTAATGAGAGGCAAACATGAGGCAAAGGCAAGCCGCTGGAGCAGCTAGCAGCTGGCTATGCCGATGCCGATGCCATAGCATGTTAGTAGGCAGCCTGGCGGAGCGACATGAACATATCCAGCCTGCTACACTTTGAGTCGATGAAGTACAGCGGTGCCCAGACGCAGGCGGCGGCCATCAATCAGTTTGTGGCGAGCGCACTGCGCCTGTTCATCGAGGACTTTTACCAGAGCCTAGCGCCCGCCTTCATTGTGATCCTGTCCTGCCGCCGGCCCAGTCCGCTCAATTTCTATCGGAACATCATGCAGCTGCTGTACGAGAGCGTGGACACAATGATCATTCAGCTGGTGCATCACAATCACAATCAGAGCCAGAGCCGGCAACGCATCGAGGGGCCACGTACGCACAATCTGCTGCTGGTGGACTCGCTGGACGCACTCCTGTAAGTCCGAAGTACCCAACAGATCGGTCTCTCATTCCCTCCTATCCTTCGTGCAGGGACATTGAGATCCACACGTACACGGCTCAGTCGGATGCCAGCGAGTATTATTTCATATTCCTGCAGCAGCGGGATGCCCTCATACCGCAGGACATGCGGGGCGTGTTCGCCTACTGCTGGCGCCATCAGCTCATCAACTGCAACGTGATGACCCAGAGCTCCGGCGGACAGGTGGTCCTCCACACATACTTTCCGTATGCGGCCCACCATCAGTGCGGCAACACAGTGCCCACGCAGATCAATCAGTTTGCGAACGGAGAGTGGCAGCATCGCGACTTCTTCCCCGCGAAGCTGCGCAACCTGCAGCAGTGTCCGCTGGTGGTGCTCGCCCGTCGTGTCCTGCCGTTCTTCGATGTGGATGGGCGTCAGCAGCTGAGGGGCCTGGAGGGTCGCCTGCTCCTGGAGCTGGCCAAGCGGATGAACTTTAGCATAAGCTTCAGGGGACTGCAGGAGCAGCAGGACAGTCACACCACCTGGACGGAGCAGCAGCTGTTGCAGCAGTTGGTGAGTGGCCAGATGAGACGATGGACCCATCTCCCGCTTCCATTTCAGTTTGTTTCTGTCCTCGACAGATGCAGGACCGCATCGCCCATCTGGCCATCGGTTATGTGCGGAAGCGGATCCAATATGCCGCCAATCTGACGGCCGTGTTTCCACACTACTCCAACAAGCTGGTCAGCTGCCTGCTGCTGAACTCCCACAATCTGACCAGCCTGGAGATCTGGTTCTTTCCCTTCCAGACCGTTGCCTGGCTCTTTTTGGTGGGCAGTCTGCTCGGCTTCTTTGGCATCCTGCTGCTGCTGTGCTGGCGGGCCGGAGACCGAGTTTCCCTGCTCCTGGCCGTCTACGGCGCCGCCCTGGGCATGCCTGTGGCCCCGCTGGAGCAGGCCTCGCAGCAGTTGCTCTTCGGCAGCTGGCTGTGCTTCACGCTGGTCGTGCGGGCTATGTACTCGGCGCTGCTCTATCTGATCCTGCGCTACCATGTGCACCAGGCGCTGCCGCGCAGCCTTGTGGAGCTGGTGGAGCGCGGCTATACGGCCGTAATGAGTCGCATCACAATGCAGGACCTGCGCGTGGTGTCCAGCCTGCGGCAGTTAATAAGCCTGCGCTCCGTGATTGTCGCCTCCGAGCTGGACGATGAGATACTGCGACGGCTGGATCAGTGCTCGGAGGAAGCATTGGCGGGCACACATCCGCACTTCTTCGGACTGCTGGCGCAGGACGCACTGATGCATCTCACCCAGCGCGGCCACAAGGCGGGCGCCTACTACATTGTGCCGCAGTACGTTCTGGAGCAGCAGCTGGCCATCTATCTGCCGAAGCACTCGCATCTGGTGGTGCAGTTCGACCACCTGGTCATGTCCATTCGCGCCGTCGGCCTCTTGCACTACTGGGCCGGGCAATTGGCCAGCGAACAGTACTTTCGCAGCACGTTCCTGTACCGAGAGAAGAGCATCAGGCAGCCGGATCTCTGGGGCATTTACGTGATTGCTGCCGCCCTATACTTTTGCTCACTGATCGTGTTCTTTTGGGAGCTCATATCGGTTAGGTGGGGTCGCACTTCAAGCAAGAGAATAAAACCCCTTGTTTTTTTTTTTAATCGAACAAATTTAAAATAAAGATCCCTTATGTTAGCGATGAGGTGCACACAGTTCATTGCATACTAGAGATGTTGGCTATCGCTTATCGATAGCTAAGATTGGAATCAGTTGGCAGCGCCAACCAATCGAATTAGTGAATTTCAAAAATTCAAATCGCTAAATTCATTCAATTTAATTAAAGTTTTCATACAACCAATACTTATGTAGCTCCTCTATAGGAAGGAAGCCTTCTGTAATACGTGCCATAAAAGCGTATTTTGATTCATTTTCTTTTCATAATTTTATTATGCAAATCACAAAAAATTCCACTTGATGCTCATGAAAGGGACAGACAGATACAGCTACAGACAGAGAGGGGGGGAGCTTATTGTATAACTACATTTAACATTAAAATTTCAATTGGTTACAAAATAAATGCATTTCTGGTTGCTGGAGTCACCTCCAGCAGCTCCTGCTCAGCGTCCGCTTACAGCTTCTGCAGCAGAATGGAGGAGGCACCACCACCGCCATTGCAGATGGAGGCACAGCCCAGCTCGCCGGCCTTGAGGCTGTGCGAGAGATGGGTGACCAGACGGGCACCGGACATGCCGATGGGATGTCCAAGGGAAACGGCGCCGCCGTGCACATTCACCTTGGCAGGATCCAAATCCATTTTCCTCGTGTTGGCAATCGCGACCACGGCGAAGGCCTCATTGATCTCCCACATGGCCACGTCGTCCTTGCGCACGCCTGCGCGCTCCAGCAGCTTGGGCAGCGCGAAGGACGGTGCGATGGGGAAGTCAATGGGATCGGTCTCTGCATCCTGGAAGGCCACAATCCGGGCCAGAGGCTTGAGGCCGGCACGCTTGACCGCATCGGCGGACATCAGAACGACAGCGGCACCGCCATCGTTCAACGTGGAGGCATTGCCGGCGGTCACGGTGCCGTTCTCGCGCTGGAATACCGTCGCCAGCTGTCCGAACTTATCGAAATTAATGCGCTTGTACTCCTCGTCCTCGGTGATGATCACCTCGGGCTTGCGCTTCAGCTGGATCTTCACGGGCGCGATCTCGTCGGCAAAGGCATTGGCCTGCCAGGCGAGGGCCGAGCGCTTGTACGACTGAATGGCATACGCGTCCTGGTCCGCGCGGGAGATGGTCATCTTCTTGGCCGTGTTCTCGGCACAGTTGCCCATGTGGAACTTGTTGTACACATCCCAGAGGCCATCGAACACAATGCCGTCGGTCAGGTTGACGCCGCCGTAGGGTGTGGCACCGCGCTTCAGATAGAAGGGGACATTGGACATGGACTCCATGCCGCCGGCGACGACCACATCGGCATAGCCGAGCATCAGCGACTGAGCGCCCAGCATAACGGACTTCATGCCCGATGAGCACACCTTGTTCACGGTGGTGCAGCACACGTTGGTCGGCAGGCCGGCAAAGATAGCCGCCTGGCGGGCGGGTGCCTGTCCCAGGCCCGCGGACACCACATTGCCCATGATCACCTCGTTGACGTCGGTCTTCGCGATCCCGGCCCGCTCAATGGCCGCCTCGATGGCAGTGGCACCCAGCTGGGTGGCACTGAGCGGCGCCAATTGGCTCTGGAAGCTGCCGATCGGTGTGCGGGCGGCGGACACCACAAACACATCTTGGATCTTGGAGCTGTACGCGCGACGCGCCTGGGCGCACAGGTTGCGCGTGGCCTGCAGAAGATTGGCGGACATCTTGTAAGGGGTGCGGGCGGAGGCAATTTAATGATTAAACCGAGGGATCACACGATGTGGAATATAATCAGAATCAGATCGAAAACCTGTTGCTCGCTTGCGTAACAATTGCGGTCTATCGACTGACCACCTATCGACTGCGATCAGCTGTTGATCTTCGGCCATTCAGCAACACTAAAATCGTTTTTAATTGAATTTAACGGCCATTGGCAATCAAACTGCAAATTTCTGGTAAATCTTTTCTTTTTATTCAATACAAGATATTGTACTGCTAAAGAAGATTACTTCTATTACAAATTGCACAGATAATGGGCATGGTCTTACAACTAATAATACACTTTATAGGATTGAAAGACCTTCTTAAAAAAAAAAGCACAAAAAAATAGGAAAAAAAAATATATATGTATATGTATATGTTGTATGCTTGCATAACGGAACTTATTCCACATCACAAGGCGCGAATCGCTCCGAACCGCTCCTGGCACCCGCCTCCTGCCTGTACGCTCACGGCTCGTCCTTAAATCAGCATTTGCTCGCGGGACGACAGCTTCTGGGGACCACCTCCGGCCACCACCAGGGAGCGACGCATGCGATTCCTTTGCAACGTCGAGTTCCGCTCCCGCACCGACTGACGCAGATGCTGGCGCCGCCCTCCGGCACCGGCCCCGGCTACACTGCCGCCGCCCGCCGCATCCTTCTCGGCCGCATTCATGGCCGCCAGCAGCTCAAAGGCTTGCTTCTTCTGCTCCTTGGTCCAGAGGTTGGCCAGCGGTGCCGCTGGTGCTGGTGCCGGTCCTGGTCCTGCTGGCTGTTGGGCCGCCGGCGGCTTTAGAGCCAATGGTGGCCGGGATCGATTAATGGCAGGCTGCTGCGCCTGCAGCTGGGCTGACGGCACCACAGCAGCAGACTTTGGGCGCCGATTTCGAGCCTCGACTGAGGCCAAACAAAGCCAGGATGGATTTGCGGCGAGTGGAGGAGACCTGGCTGTCACCCGAATCATTGCTGGAGACGCTCATCTGCATGGGCTGTACAGTGGCCGCTGGAACAGGCACAGGAACTGCAGGAGGAGGCACATTCTCAATGCCGTACGTGACGAACTTCTGGGGCGACTGGAACGTGACCTTGCGCAGGGTGTTGACGTGGCTCTGCAGGGCCTTGGGCGCCGGCAGGGCGGCCAGATTGAGTTTCGCCACCGTCGGAGAGGTATCGTTCAGCTCGATGGTGCAGTAGGTGTCGTCATGATGCACTTTCGTGTTGGGCCTGCGCGGCGGAATGGGTGGAGCTGCCATTGCCGTGGCCGTCTGGCTGCACTTGCAGGACGTGCCTGGTGGCGGCTGATGTTGCAGCTTCTCGATCAGTTCCCGCTGCAGGGCCTGGACCCGCTGCTCGGCCAGGTGCAGCTCGTTCTCGCGTGCCTGCAGCTCGATGAGTTTCTGCTGCATCAGTGACTCCTGGGCACGGATGGCATGGAGACGCGTCTGCAGCACATCATCAAAGATGTTTTGCGTGAGAAGGCGAGGACTTTGGCCTTGCCCATGGCCTTGGCCCTCCTCCAGGCGCTTCTTCGGCTGATCCGCCTCCTGCTCTTCGCGTCTGATGCTCTCGTAAAGCGCTGGATCCGATTGCTGGATTGCCTTGTTCGTGGGAAAGATGCGACGCTTGGCCGAGTAGAAGAGCTCGCTGCGCAGATCCGGTGTGAAGACCCCAGTGACGCTCAGCCGTCGCTGTCCGTAGTCCTCGTTGAAGCTGTACTGCTCCGTGAACATGGTGCTGGACAGCTCGGGCACATCCTCGAAGAGCCGTCCCATGCCGGGCACATTGAAATCCTCGCCAGCCTCCACCAGGGTAGGGAACTCTCCATCCAATTCCGAGATATTGCGCACGACAAGCGGATGACGGATGATCACCTCGATGCCGGGACGCTGCTCATGGTCCACGGCCAGCATGAAGGCAATAATCTCCTGCAGGTCGGAGCTGTAGATGCCCGGAATGCGGCTGAACTCGCCCTGGGCAATCTTCTCCGATAGCTGATCGAAGGCGCGTCCCCGAAATGGTGGCCGCAGGGCGCACATCTCGTAGACCAAACAACCCACGGCCCAGACATCGCTCTTGCGGTCGTACTGCCGTCCCTTGACCAGCTCCGGGCTCATGTAGTGCGGTGTGCCCACAAAGGAGGCGGCGAAGCTCTGGTCCCGCCGCAGCATACGGGCCAGACCGAAATCCCCCAGTTTGGCATTGCCGGCCGCATCCAGGAATATGTTCGCCGGCTTTATGTCCCTGTGCAGGATGGTGCCGTTGGGTATCTTGTTGTGGCACACCTGCAGGGCGCGGCACAGCTGGAAGAGAACGCGCCAGATGTAGCGCTCCTCGAAACGCTGCCGCTGCGCTCGGGCTCGCTGTATGAGCTGGGAGAGGTCGCCGCCCGCACAGCACTCCATCACAATGTAGATGGACTTGGCCTCACGGTTCACCAGATGGTGGTAGTACTGCACGATGTTCGGATGCTGCAGCTGGCGCAGCATACTGATCTCCGAGACGAGCGAATCGCACTTGTCGTCGTCCAGCTCGTCGTAGTTCATGCCCTTCCAGGCGAAAAGCTTGCCGGTGCTCTTGTCCCGCACCTTGTAGCAGGTGCCGAACGAACCGTTGCCCATCACGGCCAGCACCTCGTAGTCCTGCAGGGTCTTGTGGGCAAAGTCCGATGGATCCTCGCCGGATCTGGCCATATTCTGCGGCTTGTCGCTCATTCCGTGTGCTGTGTGCTGTGTGTGGGTGTGAGCGAGCGAGCGAAGGGGGACGACGCGTAATTCCGTACTTTTCGTGGCTCTGCTCCTCCTATCTATTTTTCTTCCTGTATCTGTACTTTCGCGTCAAAGTCCGAAACCGAACTGAACTCCAGGCTGGCCTCCTCTCTGCCTCTTCATACGGGTTTCGGGCAAAGCGAAGGCTGCTGCGCCGACGCACCCACACAAACAAGCTACCTGCGAAAAAGGCAACAACAAAATACAGAAAAGATTGATGGCGCTGCCAGCTTAGCCTTTTGCCCGCTAAATCTAGCTATTTGCGCTGCTATATGGAAAACAATAGCTAAGGGCGAACTGAGGATGGCTTAGCCGGCTATGGCAACTAAACGAGGGGCAAAAAATGTGTATTTAAGATTGTCTTCTTATCTTAATACAACATTCATTTTTATACATACATAGTACATATTTTAATTCATAAATTTCCATAGCCAGACGTTGATTTTCTGAAGAAAGGAAAATGCAGAAATCTAAAATATTCAGAATTGGTTTTCCATATGTAGGTAACTACTACACCATTTTGGCATTTTCCTGCTATTTTAGCCGCCATTTCTTGCTGCCAGCACTGATGCCGTGATATTCCTGCATTTCTCGTTTGTTTCCAAGAATGGTAATCTGCTGCTGTCGCACTCACGCGCACACAAACGAGAATATGCACTTTGCAAATCGCCTTTTCTGTGGTACTCGTACTCTTCCTCTCCCCCCGCTGTGCGTGCAACGTGCACTTGTGAGGCGAATTTTCGGGGCCACAGGAGAGCGAGCCTGTGTACAAAATAGAACCGTTGGGCACAATCAAAATCTTCTATGACGCAGCACGCCCTGGCAATTCCAGCTATTGTGTCCTCTTGAACCCAAAACCCGAGCCTTTTTCCCCCCTCCACCAACCCTGCACGGGCCTGACCATAAAAATAAATTAGTTTTGTTGCATTGGCATTTCAATTTGGTTTCTCAATTGTCGTCTGGGCTATGCAATGCACTGCGGTGCGCCTCTCAAGCGGGGACTGGATTATGTTACCACTCTGATTTCATAAACATATTTCCAATGCATTTCCATTGAGTGGAGTGGAGAGAGAAGAGGAATATGTATGATGAGCTGCTAGCAAAGCAATCTAACGGGATGGCACGGCTTCCAAGCAAGTATTTTGCGCAGTTCTAAATACAAAAAAACAGACAAGCACACACACACACACACACACACACATAAGCATCCATCGTGGGTCGTTGGTTGTTGTCTCGCTTCCACTTGTGTGTAAATAAACATGCGAAAGGAGGATCCTCAGAGCCAGGTAAATTCGAGGGAAAAACGAGTTATCTTCTGCCTGGGTCCAGAGAGAGGCCCTGGCTTATCGTTATGTTAGGCCCGTGTGTTGATGGTTTTATGGTTTTCATGTGTAAAACAAACAATGGGCCCAAACGAAACACAGACGCAATCCTTCATAAATAAAACAAGTCGCAGAAAGGTATACCACTCGGGTCCCAGACTCTCCCCCCGTGACCGCAAGTAGATTTGAACAGGTCGGCCAGATACACAGACTTGAGGGTACTACAGATTACAGATCGCACTCTCCAGGGTCAACTTTCACATAGCCATTTTACGGTTTATTAGTTAAGAGTGAAAAAAAACATGTTATTTTATGCTAAGTAAAGCGCTGCCCACCCCTCACCAGGATGGCGTTTGGTTTTCGCTGCCACCGGGACGGGCATACAGAGCGCTCTTGTCGCGGAACATGGTCATACGATCCGTCTCCTTCTTGTCCAGAAAGTGGCCAAGGGCGAAGCCAAATAACGGCACCGCTGCCCACAGGGCGCGCTTGTCCAGGCCGAGCACCATCTTAGCGTGATATCGACGAAGTACTTCCTCCTAGCTCTGACTCTTTAGCTGAACGCTGTGTGCCAACTGGTGTTGCTGGCGCTTCCACTTACGGGTGTGCGACCAATCTGCGTAGATGGAGCCGACTGCAACAGTGGGAAAAAATATCACTGCAGCGTACTTTCGAGCCAATTGCGAGACAACACTACTGCCCATAAGTCTGCAAAACAAACACAAAATGAGACATGAATGAGGATATGGTATGGTATGTGGGGAAGCAGGAGCGTGGTGGAGCGCTGTTTGCATTACGTAATGAAAATGACAGGCAGACTCTTTGTTATTTGTTAGATGCAAGCGCTGTGTTGGCAATTCTTACTATGATTTAGTATACGGCGTTTAAATTCTTCGGAATAGCGAATTTCCTATGATTTCTGGCTCCAATTTGATAAATTAGTTTTGTTTTGCAACTTACTTATAGCAGCGATAGCACTAGTGCTGCCGGACTTTACAAATTGAATGCGCCGTCAGCTGTTCAACTATCGACTGCCGGGATGAACTGGGTGCGATAGCAAATATCATATATCAATGCAAATTATTTGCTTTATTTTCTTTCTTCATTGACGTATATGGCAGAGACATGATTCAGCTAGTTTTCCATTTAAAATGCACATTTGTGTGCAGGTGTACAGTATACAAATACAAATAAAATTCGCCTATGTTATCGATTAAAACTATCGGTCCCATCATTGCGAATTGAATTTGATATTGGTGGAAAGGCGGCGCTCGTGCGCGGGATTTTTTTTGTAAACTTCGCAAATCTGGATGCATTTTTTGAGATGATAGCCGTCGCAGAACCGCCTAGGGAATTCGTTCCGCGCGGTCGTCAGGCGGCTGAAGAGCATCCCGGTCCACCGGATCAGCCGCTGTCCAAATACCATCCCACCGAGCACTTTCTGCTGCAGCGTCTTCAAAACGTCAACATTTCCGCCGGCGGCGTCACCGAAGAGCCGCAGGAGTTCTGGTCGATACGCGAGATCTACGACGACTACGAGGCCAGCTATGAGCGTACCCATCGGCGTCGCCAGTTGATTGAGCACACGAAGAAATGCGGCCCCCAGGCGGCCGCTGCCACTCAGTTGTCCTCGCTGCCGCGCCACCTGCTGAACCCAGAGATGGACCATCGCGAGGAGCCCATGTGCGACTACATGGTCAACAACGAAGAGGAGCTATATGTGAACAAGAACACGGTCATCTGGACGCAGGGCCTAGGTGACGAGGACGATGGCGTCTACAAGCGCATGTGCTTCACCACCGATTATCCGGTGAAGTTTGCCTGCTTCCTGAATCGCACCTTCGTACGCGGCCGACTCGCGCAGCTGAGGGCGGCCATCGACTCGGAGGACGACAACCTGAAGGCCATCTGTGTAATGGACTCGGATGCCATGCGTGTCTATTGCAATGATGGCGAGGATTTCCTGGCCAATGTCGAGTTTCCCATCGGCCATCTGTGGCAGACGAAGCACGGTCTGCTGCTGGAGAAGGACGCTGACAATGCTCTGCTCTCGAATCTCTCGATACCGATGCCGCGCCTCTTCTCCATGTCCCATCCGCTGCACGAGGCATGCCCGGTGGTGCTCAAGACATGCACCCATTCGACCGGCTATGTGATAGAACCCGAATACAGTATCATCTACACGACAGAGGATTCCGATCTGGTGCTGCTCTACGATGCAAAGTTCTTCAAGCATTTTGTTACGCGCCTGCGAAAGGTGACGCCCGAGGAGGTGAACATTGTGCAGCAGGATCTGGGGCATACAACGATCGGGCCACGATCGACAAGTGCCTCTAGCTTTAGCACACCCAAGGCCACTGGAGGTGAGTCCATCGAGCCATCCATTCTTGCAGGTTTCCTTTACTCTTTTTGGATTTCTCTCTCTCTCTTGCCAGCCACACCGAAAGTGCCGCCAAATGTCTCGTTTCTGGGTAGGAATAACACCACCACCACCACCACCACCACCACCACCACTGGGGGCACACACACGCACACTCCACTGGGGCATAATCTCTCCAAGTTTGGACTCAGCCAATCGCAGTCGTTTAGCGGCGTCCTGGGCCAGACCAAGCAAGTGCTTCCTCCAGCCTGGCAATCTGTCAATCCTTTTAATCTTTATCATTCTTTTTTGGTTGCAGTCGTGCCTCCCTGGGCACGCCGCTCAGTCAGCTGCAGAGCAGCATGGGCCAGTCCATGTCCGCCAAGGATATGCGTAAAATGGGCCACGTGAAGCCCGCCAAGCCCATCGAGCCGGAGATGTGTCTGGAGCATATTTGGACAGAGAATACCTACGGCACGTATGTGGATTATATATTCCCATTCAAGCCTTTATTTATCACTGGAACATATTGATTTTCCGCGTCCACAGGCAGCGCGAATTCTGCGAAATGGCCACGCGTGGTTTTATCCACACGGATCTGGTGGGTCAGACGTACATGTGCTATCTGCTGGCCCGCTCCTGCCGCCTGCAGATGGTCAAAATCACGGGCTATGGCAGCACTGATGTCCAGCTCTCGATCATGGCCTCCACGCTGCCGGCCAAGGATGCTGTGGGCTTGAATCGCATGCATATGATCGCTGTCCTGGACCCTGGCGGCAGTCTCATCCTCTACACGGGCACTGTGCTCATCTCCAAGGTGCACATCACACCGCTGCTGTCCGCCAGTGTGCCCACCACATCGATGGCCACGCCCAAGGTGGTGCCAGCAGGAGCAACAACAGATGGCGCCGCAAAGGCCACCACCAGCAGCAGCAGCAGCTCCTCCTTTGGTGATGTGCGTCGCAGCAGCCTGTTGCCCACCAAGGCGCCCACGGATTTGGCCAGCTTTGACGAGGAGCTGCACATGCTGTCGCCCATTGCACCGCAGGCTGTCTCCTATACGCACCGGCAGGCGCACAACATCTGCAAGTCGCTGCGTGATCCGGCGGGTAATCGTTTGACCCTGGTCTATGCCACCGGTCGTATGCTGAGGATTGCGCTGCCGCTGCTCAACGACACGCGACTGGTCACGCGCTGCATTGCCACGCTGCGGCAGGTGCTGAATGCCACGCAGTTTATGCACTTCATCATCCGCTGGTACAGTGCCCGCAATCCGCCCGGCTCCCGCGATCTCAGCAGCGAACAGGAGTGGCAGATCTTTCGCAGCACGCTGCTCGCCCTGATGGGCTGCACGGCGGCGCCTGATATGGAAACGGCGGAGACCTATGGCCGGTGTGCCACACCCGTGCCGCATTCACCCCTCGCGGAGGAGAGCGGCGGAGCTGGTGGCGATTCTATGGGTGCGGGCCTCCAGAATGAGCCCAAGAAGCGGCGCAAATACAACGATTGCGAGGAGTACACCGACGAGGATTGGGAATTTCTGCTGCTGCAAACGACACTGGCGCCCTGCGGCAGCGATGGCCACAGCTACGGCGTGGACATCAGTGCGCCGCTCTTCCAGATGATACCCGCCATCTTTTATAGCCTGCATTTGCTGTACGAGGATCTCAAGTTGGATGTGATCTTTCAGGCGGCACAATCCTATTTGGCAGGGGTGTGTAGTCTCTGAACATCTCTCTCTCTCTCCATCTTTCTCTATCTCTCTCTCTCTCTCTCTCTCTGTTTGCTGTGCTTTGCAGTTCCTTCATCAGATGGCCATTGATATGCAGCTGGATAACTATGTACTGCATTATGTACTGGACTTTCCGGAGCTGACGCACAAGACCAGCAAGCTGTCGATGCTCTGTTTCGAGCATGGGGCGATGATGCAGCACCAGGAGCTGTTGCGTGTGCCCGCACCGAGTGTCTTTGGCCAAATGGAGCACATTGTGCTGGGCCGCGAGGAGGTGCTGCCCTACAGCTTCATCGAGTGCATCAATGAGCGGAGTCGCAACATGCTGCAGCTGCTGTCGCTGGTGTTGCACGGCCCGGAGCGCATCAAGCACTGGTGGCAGCTGCTCGAGCTACCCGAGTCCGTGCAATCAAACTATCCGAAGCGCCCCAAGCGCACGATTACTGGCGGTGTGCCCAGGTATCATCAGCTGCTGGAGCTGCTGCTGGCCATGCACTTAACGCGGCAGGACATTGAGCGATTTCCGGCTGCCGTGCATCTGATTGTGGCCGAGGCCTTGGAGCAGGCACGCGCATCGCCGCCCATGAGCAGCAGCATGTCCGCCTACGATCTGATACTGCGACCCGAGCTGGCCTCCCACTTTACGCTCGCCTTTCTGGAGAAGAGCATCGAGCAGCCGCACTGCGGGCGTCTCTACAAGGAGGATTCGCTGTCCGCGCGCTGTGCCATGAGTATGGGCCAGGGGCGGATGACCACAGAGCCGGATACGGATCTGCGGCACGATGATATGGACAATATGGACACGAAACTGCTGAGGTTACGCTTTCCGGACGACATGCGGGTGGAGGAGGTGCGCCGCCTGCTCAGCAGCTCCGAGCCGGTGCCCATCGAGGTGCACCAATCGCCCGGCACGAGCGATCACGAATTCATCGAGGAGCAGGAGAAGCAATTGTTTGCCTTGTGCGCCCGCACCATGACCCTGCCCCTGGGCCGTGGCATGTTCACGCTGCGCACCCTGCTGCCGAAGCCAAGCGACAGCATGCCCATGCCCAAGCTCTGTCTGGTGGGCCGTGAGCCGCACAAGGGCACCACCATCGAGATGCAACAGATCGAGTTCCCCGCGAATATGAGCATGTGGCCATCATTTCACAATGGCGTGGCCACCGGCCTGAAGATCTCACCCCAGGCACAGGATGTGGACTCCACGTGGATCGTTTACAACAAGCCCAAGGCCCAGGCGAATAATGCCCTGGAACATGCGGGCTTCCTCATGGCCCTCGGCCTCAATGGCCACCTCCGGACGCTGTCCTTTATGAGCGTGTACAAGTATCTGGTGAAGTGCGATGAGATGACCAATGTGGGCCTGTTGCTGGGCATTTCAGCCGCCCATCGCGGCACCATGGACACCCAGATCACCAAACTGTTGAGCGTTCATCTCGAAGCGCTGCTCCCGGCCACCGCCATGGAACTGGACATACCGCAGAGCACACAGGTGGCTGCTCTGATGGGTATTGGTATGCTCTATCAGGGCTCGGCCAAGCGGCACATTGCCGAGGTGCTGCTCCAAGAGATTGGCCGTCCGCCCGGCCCCGAAATGGAAAACTGTGTGGAGCGCGAATCGTATGCCATGACAGCGGGCCTGGCCCTGGGATTGGTCACCCTCGGGCAGGGTGAGTCGCCCGCTGGCCTCCGGGATCTCCAGCTGCCGGACACGCTCCATTACTATATGATGGGTGGAGTGAAGCGTCCCATTACGGGCTCCCAGAAGGAGAAGTACCGCCTGGCCTCGTTCCAGGTGCGCGAGGGCGAGAATGTGAATATCGATGTAACAGCGCCGGGGGCCACACTGGCCCTGGGTCTGATGTTCTTCAATTCGGGGAACACAGCGATTGCCGAGTGGATGCAGCCACCGGACTCGCGCTATCTGCTGGACATGGTACGACCCGATTTCCTGCTGCTGCGCACCATTGCCCGTGGCCTGATAATGTGGGATGATGTACGGCCGGACAATGACTGGTTCCAGGCGCAATTCCCAGCCAATCTGCGCATTCATCTGCGGCTTCCGATGCGCGACGATGAGCCCCAGCCGGAGGACAGTGATGTGGACTACGAGGCCATCACGTAAGCAGTCATCAGAGATTCTTTTTCGAATGTTTTCATGCTAATTTTTCGTTCCATTTTACAGTCAGGCATATTGCAACATTGTGGCTGGTGCCGCGTTCTGCATTGGCCTCAAATACGCCGGCACTGAGAATGCGGTGGCCTTTGCCACACTGCGGTTGGCCATTAAGGAGTTCTTGAGTTTCCCTGGCACATCCCATGGGCGAATGTGCCGGCCGCACCACCGTCGAGAGTTGCCTTATGGTGCTGCTGATTGCCATTTCGCTCGTATTTGCCGGCTCTGGAAATTGTGAGATTCTGCGCATTATTCGCTTTTTGAGATCGCGCGTGGGTCCGCAGTATCCGCACATTACGTACGGCTCCCACATGGCCATACACATGTCGCTGGGACTGCTCTTTCTGGGCGCGGGACGTTTTACCATTGCCAAGACGCCGGAATCGATAGCGGCGCTGGTGTGCGCCTTCTTTCCCAAGTTTCCCATACATAGCAATGACAATCGGTGAGAATCGTTGGCAAGTAGCAGGAGTATGAGTGCTAATCCTTTTCGTTGCTTTCCGTTGCTTTCCGTTGCTTTCCGTTCCTTTCAGCTATCATCTGCAGGCCCTACGCCATCTGTATGTGCTGGCTGTGGAGCCGCGACTGTTTCTGCCGCGCGACATAGACACCCATCAGCTGTGCCTGTGCAACATTTCGGTGCTGGATGTGGGCGCCAGTGAGCTGCGACACCTGCCCATTGCCCCATGCATCCTGCCAGAGCTGAGCACACTGCAGAAGGTGATCGTCGACGATGAGAACTACTGGCCGGTGTGCTTTGAGCGGTCGCGCAACTGGCATCAGCTGGAGAAGGCCCTGGAGATGAGTGCACCCATTGACATTAAGAAACGGACTGGCTGTCTGTCGCATTTGGAGGATCCGGATCGTCTAAAGAGCATGCTCGCCCAGACACTGACCCTCGAGCAGAGCATCTGCTGGCAGATCGACACGCGCGATCTGAAGCGCTTCGAGGCGGAGGTGATGGTAAAGCCATTCCTTAGCAGCTGCCTAGACACCGGGGGCACGCAGCTCAGTCACGAGGAGCTGGTGAAGCGGCATCAGTTGATTCTGTTGTTCTACAATGCGGTGGTCAAGGATCGTATGCATCTGCTGCCCGTCTACCTCACCCTCTTCGATGTAAGTGATTACCCAAAAGGCTGGCGAACATTTTTCACTCTCTATCGACTCCCTCTGTCCCTGCAGCACGTGACGAAACCCATGCCCAACAATACGGATGTGTGGCAGCTGAAGCTGATCGATTCGTATCTGGGGCGTGGCAGGGAGTCGGATCATGCCCGCCTCTCCGTGGAACTCATCCAGATGATGCAGGAGATCTTCAAACAGCAAATGGAGGCCTCCACCACCGAGCTGTGCATACCGCTGCGCTCATTCCTCAGCCAGAAGCGACTGGAGCCCAGCTATGTGGCCACCATCAGTGGACCCGATCTGCAGCGCGTCTTCTGTTTGATCAACTACTACAATCTGATGCCCGATATGCTGACGGGAGTGGATCTCAACGTGGGTGGTGGCGGCTCATTGAACTATATGCACTTGCTCTATGCGTTCCGGCAGCTTAATCTCGGGGCAAACACCGTCTTTGGCCTGCTCAAGATACTGCAGGCGCTCGCATGCTGCCAGCCAACGACACTAGAGGAGGCACCCTCGATCATGGCCATGGCCATGGAAGGAGGACCATGATATTCGCTTTCTGGAAATCATGAATTTCAATGAATTACGAATTATATTTACACTATCTGTGGCCTCAGCTATGTAGATAATTGACACACTGTGAATATGGTTATTTTTTTTTTCTATCTTCTATTTTCATTTCTAATATGAATTATTTTGTAAGATTTACATTTGCTACCTTTTCTGGGGTATGGATCAGGAATGAATTTAATTAGCACTTAGTATCTTAATGTCGAGGCACTTGTGCCTCTTTCATAGTTTTACTTTTCATTTCAACCTTCCTAGTTTCATTAATGGAAAGAATTAGAATTTCCAGTACTTTTTTTTGAGTTTCATCGTGATTTCAATGGATTATTGAATACCACCTGAATGAACCCAGCCATATATAGGAGCAAAATATTGGGTATCTCTTATGGTTTTATTTCTACTAATCTTTGGGTTGCCAGTTTTTCTTTTCCAATCTTTTTAGCAGAATTAAGATCTGCTAACGATGTGCTTCATGGGTTCCTTTTTTTTTTTTTTTGAAAGTATTTCCTGGAATAACTTTCTTTTTAGCAAAACCTCAATGAAAATCTATTTATAAGTTAAGCGAAAATTAATTATTACCACTGCTGCATGGATGTTCATGCATTTTGAGTTGTCATAATACTGCAATTAATACTCTTTGTGGGGGTTCCTTTATTGTCAAATAATACGTGGTAGAGAATGGAATAATCGTAGTACTAAGATAATCAAACTCTATACAATGTTCGGCTTGGCCTGTAAAGCTACCTCTTTGGCGGCAAACCATTGTCAGCCGCTATATAAGATATATGTATGCATATACATACTACATATATATATATAATACAAAAAAAAATGCCTCATTATGTCATGTCCCTCAGACAATGCGCTGGGTCTCGCCCGCCGCTAGCTCATCCGGCTTGGGCCGACAGCAGCGATTGTAGAAATAAATGCCGAGCAGGGGAAGCGGTGTCATCACGGCCACCGACACGGGCACCACCGTAGTGAGATCGGACTGCGGCGACTCCAGCGTGGTGGTCAGCAGAAAGATGGCAATGCCCGTGTTCTGTATGCCCGTTTCGATGGCAATGGTCAGGGCATCGGCGGCGTTCTGATGCAGCAGCTTGGCGGCCAGCCAGGCAAAGATGTAGCCCAGCCCGGGCAGGGCCATGCCGGCCACAGCAATCTTAGGAGGAGAAAAAATAAAACAAGAAGTTAGCACAAAAATCTCGACTTGTGACTGCGGCTGCGGCCTCACCTGCCAGGAGAACAGATAGAAGAGATAAAAGTTCGTGACGATCGCAAAGATCACAATGAACAGGATGAGGCTGGCAGAGATGGGCTTAAGCAGGCGCACGAGGACACGGGTGAGACGTGGCGAACGCTTCTGGATGGCCAGGCCCATCAGCAGCGGTATGATAAGGCAGGCACAGTAGGTGGCAATCGTTCCGTATGGCACCTGCATTCCGGCCCGCTCGAAGATCAGCTGGCCGAGTGTGAAAATCCACAGCGGCATAGTGACAAAGGCGGCCACATTGCTCACCGTTGTCATTAGCACCGAGAGATGAATGTTGCCGCCCAGCACCGCCGACCAGGTATTGGACGCACCGCCGCTGGGCGAGATTCCAGTAAAGAAGAGCCCCAGCTGCATGGCCGGAGCCTCAGGGAAGATGAACACCCCCAGAGCGTAGCTTAGCAGCGGCATACCCACCACCTGCATCACGAATCCGAGACAGGGACCGACTGGTCGCGTCACCAGTCCCCGCAGCACATCCAGATTGAGAGCGGCGCCAAAGTTGATGTACAGCAGCGACATCAGCAGGACGATGGAGCCGATGAACACGTGATCGACCACACGGCTCGGCCGCTGCACCTTCACGTCCAGCGTGCTGTCGTTGGTGCCCTGCGTCGGCAGCTGGCTGCTGTTCGACAAGCTGTCGAACAGACGGACTGTGATCTTGGTCTCGCCCAGAAAGTGGGCATTCACCTGGATGTCGCCCGTCCAGTCCCGTGTGTCCGAATTGAACAGACCCACGACTATGGTGGAGTTCTCCTCGGGCACACTGGCTAGATCATTGGCGGCACTCTCCAGGCGGAACACATAGCGCTGGGGCTGCTGCAGCGTCGATGGCGGCACATTCTCCAGCGTGAGCGACACCCGTTCGCCTTTCTCCATGCGCAGCTGGAGGCTGGCTGGCCGAAAGTGCGCCATCCAGGCCAGGGCAATGGGCGAAAGGCCCAGTGCGACCATCAGCCACATCCATCCCAGCACAGGTGAGGCCATCTTTATATAACAGATGAAAGTAAGTACCTTTCGCACGCTACAAGTGTCTGTCGCGTCGGGCTTGGGTGAGAGCTGGTCGGTGAGTAAATCTAATGGAAAAACGAAACGCACTAAAAACACACATATCACAACTGCAATTGCAAGTGTAACCCCCCCCCACCACCCCACCAGCAGCAGTGCGCCAGACAGAGATGACTAGATGCTGTCCGATTGTCCGATCGTTGATCTGAGCGCGCCAGAGCGAGACAAGCCGAGCCCGAAAACCGGCTAACAAGCCAAAGCGAAATCTATTGACTAGACCAGCTCTAATCTTGAATACCCTCTCTCTCCGCAGCCATAAGCTGCTGATGTTGACAAAAATATTTATCTCCAAAAAAACAAGAAAAAAGTGCTTACTCACGGAAGATCATACGTGTTAAGAGATAATAACAAATAAATATAGATGGAAGACATCTGGCAGATTCGATTGACCCGAAGGCCATCAGCAAAGCGAATGTAGCCTAACCGTAAAGGGGATAGGATAGAGAAAAAGCAGTTACTTTGATGGGTTTCCCTCGCTGGGAGAGAAGTGTAGTGTACGTGAGATGCGTTTTTATTGGAGCTTTTGGGTTGGATCAGTATAAAATCAGTGTATAATTAAAAAAGGTTAAAACAATGGATTAAAATGTGTAAAAGAATTTGATAACTAGTTTTGTGTCTGCTCCGGGCATACTTAGTAGCGGTAGTGGTCGGGCTTGAAGGGTCCCGTCTTGGACACACCCAGATAGCTGGACTGTTTCTCCGTCAGTTTGGTGAGCTTGACGCCGAGCTTCTCTAGATGGAGACTGGCCACCTCCTCGTCGAGGACCTTGGGCAGGACATGCACGCCGACCTTGTACTGGGCGGACTTGGTCCACAGCTCGATCTGGGCGAGCACCTGATTGGTGAAGGAGTTGGACATAACGAAGCTGGGATGGCCGTGGGCACAGCCCAGATTGACCAAACGTCCTTCGGCCAGGAGGATGATGTGACGGCCATTGGGCATGGTGTAGCGATCGACCTGGGGCTTCACGTTCACCTTCTCCTTGGCATTGGCATTCAGCCAGTCGACATCGATCTCGATGTCAAAGTGGCCGATGTTGCACACGATGGCATCGTCGGGCATGTTGAGCAGGTGCACAGAGGTGATGATGTCGCGGCAGCCGGTGGTGGTCACAAAGATGGACGCCTCCTTGCTGGCCTCCTCCAGTGTGGTCACCTCGTAGCCCTCCATGGCCGCCTGCAGGGCATTGATCGGGTCGATTTCGGTGACGATCACCCGACCGCCGAATCCCTTCAGAGCCTGTGCACAGCCCTTGCCCACATCACCGTAACCAGCGACGCAGCACACTTTGCCGGCGATCATCACATCTGTGGCGCGCTTGATGCCATCGATCAGGGACTCCCGGCAGCCGTACAGATTGTCGAACTTGCTCTTGGTCACCGAATCGTTGACATTGATGGCTGGGATGCCGAGGCGGCCATCCTTGAACATCTTGTACAGGTTGTGGACACCGGTGGTCGTCTCCTCGCTGAGGCCCTTGATGTCCTTCAGGTACTGTGGGAACTTCTCGTGCACCAGATTGGTCAGATCACCGCCATCGTCCAGGATCATGTTCAGGGGCTTCCCATCGGGGAAGACCAGGGTCTGCTCGATGCACCACATGTACTCCTCGTCCGTTTCACCCTTCCACGCGTACACGGGCACACCGGTGACCGCAATGGCTGCCGCGGCATTATCCTGTGTGCTGAAGATGTTGCAACTGGACCATTGGACCTGCAACAATAGAGAGTAAAACGCTAGTGAGATGGTGTGACAGCAGCCGTTGCCAAGGGGGAATGTTTTGTACAAAAGTGTCTAGTCAGAGGAAATAACAATGCTTCAGCATCAGCATATCAATGGGTGCCCGAGACCCCATTGACCCTGACATGCGGCTGCTTATCTTGCGAAAGGGCGCCTTGAACTTGCCCCCCGGGAAGCTGACACTTTTGTTTTTCGGCCAATCGATTGTTGTGCGTAAACAAAACGAAGATAAGGGGGGAAGAACTCACCTCAGCACCCAGCTCCACAAGGGTTTCGATGAGCACCGCCGTCTGGACGGTCATGTGCAGGCAGCCGGTGATACGAGCCCCCTTCAGGATCTTGGACGGCCCGTACTTCTTGCGGCAGGCCATTAGGCCGGGCATCTCGTTTTCCGCAATGATAATCGCCTTGCGTCCCCATTCGGCCAGACTGATATCGGCTGTCGTGTAAAAAGTGGGAGAGATACGGGGAAGATAAGCAAATATATATGATGATGTGTTAGCAAGCAGCAGCCTGGCAACAACGTGCGCCGACTGTTCGTTCGCTTCGCTCCTCTTTAACCTCAGAAACATGTGCAGAGTGCGATGCGGTGCACCACATGGACATGGAATTTCCGTTCGCGCGCGCTCATCTGCGCATCTGATGTGCCTGTTGCCGGGTGCAGGAGCAATGCTCCCTGCGGCATTTATTTTTAAACTCACCAACTTTGTAGGCAGGCTTCGACATGTTCTTGCAAGGATTGGGTTCGACAGGCGCAGAGCAGAAAGACGAATGTAGAATTGAAGTCGCGGGCAGCGGTTAATGAACATGGGCGGCAGTGTGACAGCGGACTTATCGAAAAAATATATCGCCTGACTCTATGAAATATATCGATATACCTTAAATTTTCAAAATATATCGTAAATACTCGGTGGAACAAAAACACGAACTCCATTTGAACAGGTGAACACTTTGAGTTTAACCGCGAAAAAATGTTACTGTTGGTTAATCTTGTTGGTCCATCCTTTTTCTTTATTACTAAACAAAAATTACCACTATATTTTTCACCTGAACTACGCGAAAATATTTTAAGTTTCATAATATTATTGTTTGTATAAAAATACCCACTGGTCTACAATAGCGTAATCGTTTTAATCGGAAATCATATTCCTTGATATTGATATTCGTTTCACACAATTGATGAATTAATTAATATATATAATTGGAAAGAGATACAAATCTATCACAACATTTTCATAATTCTTATCTGATATTTTACCATCTCTAATGGTGACATTATGACATTAGACTTTGCTAGCTGACTAGCCTAGCTGGTAAAATAGTGATAGCCTTAAGGGAAATGTTTTACTTTGCGGATACAATTTTGCTGGCTTGTTGGCTGTGTCTTGCTGAAAAACAGTTGTTCGACTGAAAGCTAGTAGACGTGTCTAGAGACGACTACGAACACCAATATGTCATTTTGTCTCTCATGCTCTAGTGTCATAGCACTATAAGCTCAGTCACGACGTCACCGATAGCAACCATCGATAGACCTGCAACTATAGATGACACAGCTTTGACTGGCAGCAGGCAGCGAAAATATACACAGCAAAAAGTGAGAATTTGAGTGCGTTTTCGTTGGTCATAGCTGAAGCAAGCAAATAATCATATTTAGCTAAGAACATGTCCGGCTCCGGTCTTGATGAAAATCCCTTTGGCGAGCCCAATCTGGACAATCCGTTTGCGGTAAGTCCGGAATGAAAAGTTCGAACCGACACACGCACACACAAAGTAAGTGAGTGGGTGTGTGTGCGTGTGTGTGTGTGCTGCAACGACGACACCGTCGCATATGTTTCATTTTCCTATTGGTATAATCCTATACCCCGTAGGACCCCGCCATACAACAGGCAAGACGTCAGGCTGGCGCTGCCTTGGTTTCACTGGAGGATTACAATCCCTTTGAGGAGCAGGCCAAGCCACAGCTTCAAATCAACTCCACCAACACGGCGGCCGTCGTTCAGCCGCTCTCACAGAACGTTCCACCCCCACAGACCAGTTCGCTGGGCGCATCGGCGCCAAGCACCAGCATACAAATCACCTCGGAGGAGCTGCAGGTATGTGCGTGCCCCAGTGTGGCAATAATGTGGCCGATCATTGTGTGCGTGTGGTGTGTGCTAGATCAGCACAAACAAAAGAAAAAAGAACCGGCACTAGAAGACGGTTGGTTTCGCGTTACACGTCTCCAATGCGGAATGTACAGTGAATGCTCGCCATAGAGGGTCGCGACGGCAGCATTATCTGTGGCGATCATGCGAGCAAATGTTTTATTGCAGAATACCACCCGATAAAGCCGTATCTGTCGTTATCTACTGTCTTGTTTTGTGATAAATTTATCCGTCTCCAAATTCTTGCTGTTGTCTCTTTGTGAAGATTATCTATGGGTACGCACTGTAAACATTCTCCGCTTGCGGTTGCATTGCTGGGGCTGCCATATGTGGGCGTTGCTTAGGGCCGAGCGATTATCAATGAATGGCCAACATTATGCTGATAATTCCTCTCTCTTTCCCTTTGTCTTTGCATCGATGTAGCGACGGCAGGAGGAGCTGGACCGCAAGGCTGCCGAATTGGATCGCCGCGAACAGCAGCTTCAGGGGAATGTGCCACAGCTGAACAACTGGCCGCCGTTGCCGGATAATTTCTGTGTGAAGCCGTGCTTCTACCAGGACTTTGAAGTCGAGATACCCCCAGAGTTCCAGAGACTGGTGAAGCATTTGTACTACATTTGGATGTGTGAGTATCGTGTGTAATTTTTTCATTACCGGCTGATAAGCCGCCGATCGACCGACTGGGATTAGTCATCCAATGGAACGTACATACATACATATATGTATGGATATGTATGTATGTTTTATTGTTGATAGATTTGATTCGATCGAAAAGTGCAGGCCCTCTGCCGGTTACCTGAAATGTTTACTAATCTCGTGTTACTCCCCGCCCCCGCCACACTTTATGTCTCTATCCCGCGCAGTCTATACCATGACGTTGGTGGCCAATGTGATTGGGGGTCTCATCTTGCTGTTCCATTCGGGTGATTTTGTCACTTTGTTCCTGGCCCTGTTCTACACTGTGCTCTTCACGCCCGCCTCTTATGTTTGCTGGTAAGTGCTTGCTGTCATATTTATTCTGTAATATTATCTTAAAACTCTTTTCTGTAATTCTCTCTATCTTTGGATAGGTTTCGGCCTGCGTACAAGGCCTTCCGCAATGATTCGAGCTTCAATTTCATGGTCTTCTTCTTCATCTACTTCTTCCAAACCATCT